GATGCTGCATGATCTGTAAAGCAGTTTCATCTCTCACAGAGACCTGAAGAGGCACTGGCTTCTTTACTTCAGGCAGTGCAAGTACCAGGGTTACAGACCCATCACTGCATTCTGCAGGGAAGGTTCAGACTGCAATTGTACATTTATTTGTTGGCCATGCAGCACGTGTATCCCTCTCCCCAGCTGCTTATTTCTGCTCCCTCCATAGAGCCAGCACTAATATTTGTAAGGCTCTGCAGTGAACTGGATCAGGAAAGGGACCTCATTGTAAAGTACCGTGTCTTTAGTATGTAATCATGGCCTCGAAGATTAGTCATGGCTCTCAAAATTCCATTGAGCTCCACTCAACCTAAACATGTTAAGTGAGCTGTCTGACACTAGGTGAGGTGAATTACCTCTCTTATTTCTGTTTGCTGAAAATTAATTTCCGCCTTGTCATTTTTGCTCCCTTAGTAACTGCATCTATGTGAAAGTGAGAGGATATGATATTTGAAATAAATAGTTTAATTATCTCCTGAATGGTTTTGTTACTATCCTGTTATTAGTTACATCTTAAACAGTAATCCTGGCAAAACAAACAATTTTGAGAACTATTTAGTGTATAATGAATGTGTTACATACGTGAAAGAAAGTATTGGAGGAAATTGTGAATATGTAATCACAAGGGTCTGGAATGCAGCGGAATAGTTAAAGCAGAAAGGCTGCATTTAAAAGGGGGATGAGTGGTCCTGTTCAGAGACACTGATCTGTAATACACACCAAGCAATGTCTTTTAAAATCCAAGGGGACAGAAAATCCTGGGACCAAAGAAACACAGCTTCCTGTCTCAGTAAGTTTTCCTTGGGTTTGGCTAAGTGATATAAAACCAAAAAAGATATATTCTTAGCTTGTTTTTAGCACTTTGTCATGGCTTTGCCTCAGGTGGCAACCGAATCCCACGGAGCCCCTTGCTCCCTGCCCTGCCATGGGACTGGGGAGAGAATCTGAATCAAAGTTGATAGAATTTTCCTTACATAGCTTTTAAGATCTTATCTTTACAGTTTTACTATCGATTTTCAAAATTTGGATATGTGAATTTTGATTTCTTTTAAAGGCAAGGGTACTTATAAGTTTCATATGCTATCCTGGAGTACAACTGCATAAAGGGAAGAAAGACAAAGTTTTCCAGTGTGAGTTCTTTCAGGAGAGGGGTGTGGAACTGGCAGTCTTGATGTAGGGGTTGCTTAGGAAAATTTTTCATCACAAGCATAGTAAATTATCTTTGTCTTAGGTTCTTAATACTTTGTAAAATATAAAATATTACTAGTATGTAAGGTTACAGAGTATGAAAAGTGAATCATCACATGATAGAGAAGAAAATGTGCATTCTTTCCCAGATAGAAGTCCGAGTTTGACATTTTAGGTGCCAAATTTTATTTTCAGTTGTTTTTTATGTGTTGAATCAAGATATTGGAAATATCCCACAGTTTACATATTCAGGGCTCTTCCTGTTCACCTAACTTTTTTAAAAGTATCTACTGCAATCACAATTTACTTGTGCTGTTTTCAGCCCCAGCATTCTCCAAGTGACCTGGAGGTAATGATTGTTTCAACTTTAACCTTGGTATTTGCAAGCAAGCCCTTTACACGATCAGTTTGTGTACGCAGTAAGTTCAGACTTTGGCACTGCTTCCCAGAGACCTTTGCATCTCAGAGACCTGTTTCCTTATAGGGATTATCCCTGCTGTGGCAAGTATTAAATGTGGAAGGGCCAGGGATTTAGTGTCCCTCCATCCCTTTCCAAAATCGAAGGAAAGAGTCGATAGCTGCACAATTAGGTACTTTTCTGGGATAAACTGACTGGGATTTTTGTGAGACCTGTTTCAGGTTTATAGGTAAGTTACTCAGTGGGTATTTGCAGTGTGGTGGTGGGAAAGACTTCTTTTGAAAAAAGACATATTTCAGAGATCACAGGATGTGAGAGAGCACCAGTAAAGCCTGTTTAACCTTAACATCATAATTATATGAAATTGTGTCCTTATTTTCCTATGTTCTATTCTCCTGTTTTCAGTTTACTTTGTGCATGTGTTATGTAGGGGTAGGAAAGGGGTTATGGAGACTAAAGTATTATATGGGAAACTAAGAAAATCCTCTGGGAATATGTTTGTGGCACAGAATTTTTGTAAAGACTTAAAAGAATCAGATCTTTGAGTGGAATCATCACGCTGCAGCTACCACATCTACTGTTGTAATATGTACAGATTTTTGTAAAGCAAAACACTCTGTGGGAATATTATTTAAATGATCTTCATACTCAGTACCCATTTTATTTTAGAAGATTTATTTTCATACAAGCAAGGATCAATGCCTATTATGTGAAACCTGCCAATGAAAGCATATGCATGTGTAAACATGCCCAAAACATAGAGAAGCCAGAAGGCAGTTTACTGCATGAATACTAGACATATTATTTAAAGTTTTTCTGTGTTTTTTAAAAAAATCAACTATAACTTTTTCAGTAATGAAAATATGAGTATATTTTGACAGTCTTCAGAGATGGTTATGCTTGCTCAGGTACCAGTTAATCATTGACAAGAGCTGTAATGATTAAGCAGCTGTAATTTACTTGTAGTGTTTGAAAGTACAAAAGGGGATGTAATAGTTAAAATAAGAAGCACTTAATTTATGTTTTACTAGCTGTTAGGTTGTTTTTATAGAAATTTAGCTCAAAAGGCTGCTGAGTTTTACATACTGGTTGTAAATGTGGAAAAGGATGGTGCACTTTGGGCGATACCAGGCAGCTGTTGCTATGTTCAGAGTTCAGCTCCCAAGCCTTTCCTTTCCTTTCCTTCCTTTTTTGTTGATGCTGCCTTAGGGAGACAAATTTGGTTGTCTCGTTTGGATTGCTGGAGAACAGTTATTCTCAGCTATCATCACAAAACCAATGTACATCAAGGTTTCTTTGCGCTTTTCCCTTGTCACAAAATAGCTACATCTCAGGGATAGCAATTTAACTTTGTTTTCACAGGTACATACAACTGATTTCTCATTTCTCAATTTAAGTGTCAGGGATTTTGATAGATAACCAGGAGCAAACAACACAGCTAGTTCCAGGTGTTACTGGGCTTATTCATGCTGCCTCAACAGAGAAATGGTACAAAGGTGTTCAAGATTGAACGTATTGGCAGAGAATAATAGATGATGTTAACCATAAGTGTTTGTAGTTGATTCTTTCTTTTTCTTTCTTTCTTTCTTTTTCTTTCTTTCTTTCTTTCTTTCTTTCTTTCTTTCTTTCTCTCTTTCTTTTTCTTTCTTTCTTTCTTTTTCTTTCTTTCTTTTTCTTTCTTTCTTTCTTTCTTTCTTTCTTTCTTTCTTTCTTTCTTTCTTTCTTTCTTTCTTCTTTCTTTCTTTCTTTTTCTTTCTTTCTTTCTTTCTTTCTTTCTTTCTTTCTTTCTTTCTTTCTTTCTTCTTTTCTTTCTTTCTTCTCTTTCTTTCTTTCTTTCTCTTTCTTTCTTTCTTTCTTTCTTTCTTTCTTTCTTTCTTTCTTTCTTTCTTTCTTTCTTTCTTTCTTTCTTTCTTTCCTTTCTTTCTTTCCTTTCTTTCCTTTCTTTCCTTTCTTTCTTTCCTTTCTTTCTTTCCTTTCTTTCTTTCCTTTCTTTCTTTCCTTTCTTTCTTTCCTTTCTTTCTTTCCTTTCTTTTCTTTCTTTTCTTTCTTTCTATCTGAAAGTAGCATTTTGGAAGGGACTCTTCATCTGCAAAGCGTCTCTGTATCTTGAGTCTTCATGAAACTACAGGCGTTGTTCTGAATGCCTGCAGAAGGCTTAGCCATAAAATCTTTGTCAGATTATCTACAGTAATGTGCCACTTTCCTTGGGTATGTGATCATACATTCCTAAAGAATCCAACCTGGCCTTGGACACTTCTAGGGATGGGGCAGCCACAGCTGGGCAACCTGTGCCAGGGCTTCCCCACCCTCATAGGGAAGAATTTCTTCTCAGTATCCCATCTATCCCTGCCCTCTGGCAGTGGGAAGCCATTTCCCCTTGTCCTGTCCCTCTGTCCCTTGTCCGAGGTCCCTCTCCAGCTCTCCTGGAGCCTCTTCAGGACCTGGAAGGGGCTCTCAGGTCTCCCTGGAGCCTTCTCTTCTCCAGGTGAACTCCCCCAGCTCTCCCAGCCTGGCTCCAGAAGAGAGGGGCTCCAGCCCTGGGAGCATCTCCATGGCCTCCTCTGGACTCGCTCCAGCAGTTCCACGTCCCTGTGCTGTTGTTCCCCAGGGCTGGAGGCAGCTCTGCAGGGAAGTCTCACCTAGGAGGGCAGAGGGGAAGGGTCCCCCCTGACTCTGCCCACGTTGTGGGATCAGCCCAGGGCCTGGGGGGGGCGGGGAGGTGGTTCAGCACACACAGCCAGGGTGCGTGGAGCTTTTCATTGACAGCACAACTGGTACAGAAACACACCTGTTGCCTGTAACTGATGATGGGAATCACAGATAAAGTCCCATAATTGGTCTTCTAGATATTCTTATTTGCTGCACTATGTGATTCAGAATAATTTTCCTTTTTTAGTTAAAACTATCCTGTTTCCAAGAAGTTGGGCAAATAGATTAGTACTAAGGTCTTTGTACTATGAGATGGAAAGTTAGTGACAGCATCTCATTTTTTTTCCTACTCACAAAGAGTGAGTGGAATATTGATGTTTGTTATTTCTCTATAAATTTTGGTGGGAAGTGCATAGTGCCTTTTGTAGAAACACAGTATGTAACTTTTCTCAGCAATGGAGAGGAAACAACAATCTACAGGTTGATCTTGTCATAACTTTCATTCATATTGAAGTCTTTTGGGGCATTTCCCCCCTCCGCTTGTGTTGTTGATTATTCATATTGCATAAAGCTTCCAGAGCAACAGAATGTTGATAATATTCCACAGTGTTGGATTGGATTTCCTGTATCCAGTGTGCTGCAACTGGTTGAAGTATTTAGAAAAAAATTAATAGTCTGATTTTTTTTTTAATTATTCTTTCACCAGTGTAAAGAAGTTTAAGTGACTGCTCTGCTTGATCAAAATGGTGGACACTGAAAACCAGCTCTATCCCCTTACTCCCTTGGAGGAGGAGGATATAGACAGCCCTTTATCTGGAGAACTCCTACAAGATATGGAGAACATTCAAGACCTCTCCCAGTCTCTAGGTGATGATAGTTCTGGTGCTTTAAGCTTAACAGAGTTCCAGTCACTGGGAAATGGCCCAGGATCTGATGGCTCAGTAATAACAGGTAAGGTTTATCACAAAACTTTCTTTTATAAATATAGTGATAGAAATTAAAAACCTATTAAATTGTTGTTTGTGATGAAGAGACACTAAAAATATATAAACTGATTATAGCATGGTCTTACAATATTTAAGTTAGTTTGTTAGACAAATGTCACTGAAAAATGACTGTAACTGAAGCTTCTCTTGTAAATTACCATTATTATCAACACCTTTTTCAAAATAATTTTTAAAAATAGTTATTACTAGCCAGTTGCAGTCTCAGTGCTCATACATTACATAGTCCTGAGTCAAAAACCTTTGTGAGAGGCTTTACTGGAGAGATCAGCATGGGAATCACTGCAGGGTGTGGGACACTGTGGTGATGTCAGTAAGGTGTTCGTGTTAAACCTGGGGGGTTGCAAACCTTTTAGCTGTAGAGCCATTTGAAGTAGTTTACAATTAACTTTCTGGTTACTTTACATTATGTTTTGGTTTTAGGGGTTTCTTACTTTAAATCGATTCCCAGCCTGTGATCCCTGTTCCACCTTACAAAGCCTGAAATAATAGAACTGTGTGAGTTTGGAAGGGAGCAGGGGGAGCTGCCTCTTGGCACTGTTGGCCTAAGGGATGTTTGTAGAACTATGATTTGGTTCCCTTTTGGTTGCAAACATTCTCATTAGAGGGATGCCTTGTACAGGAAGAGTTATGATGTGCTTTATATATGTCTATATGTGTTTATGTGGAGCCCCTGGTGGTCTAGTGGTAAAGGCGCCGCGCTATCACCGCGGAGACCCGGGTTCGATTCCCGGTCAGGGCCACTCCCGGGCAGGTGGGGCTCGTTAGCCCTTAAAGGCAACCCACCTACGTCCTAAGGACCTCGCTGCCACCGTCCAAGCTCGCTTGGCCCCGGCAGATGAACCTTAGGATTAAAGGGTGGGCTCAGTTCCGCGCACACTGTGTCTCACCTAAAAAATCCAATGCGCAGGCTGGAAGGTGGAAAGACCTTCCCCGGATCTTCGCTCGCGAAGACTGGCCATTATGTGTTTATGTCTATATGTGTTTATAACACAGTCCTTCAGACAGGAGGTTTTGCAATTATTTGTGTGTAAGTTTGTACAAGGCCTACAATGATTTAGATCACCTTCTAATGTCACCTTCTCATATGAGAATTTAGTGTTCATTGCAAAATGTTCTAATCTTGTGGTTAAAGAAGATACAGAATGTAAACTTCCAAGGCTCAAATTCCATAAGGCAAGTAGAAAGAAACCACACTTCAAAAAAAATCCTGGGGCTTAGGCTGTTCTTGATGACTCTGATGCCTGTGGGCTTGGCAGCACTGGCAATGCAGACTCTGAGTTCTATGCCAAGGTTTTTTCCAACATAATACTTGCTGACCTACATTCATGAGTGTTTCTTAATCTGTCTGTTAAAATAACACACCCATTAATTTGCTGAAGTCTTGTGGTGCAAGTTGCAAGATGGAAGATAGAAGAAATTCTGGCCTCAGAAAATATTTTTCTTAAACAAGGTGGAAATATTAATTGAAATAATTAAGGTTGGAACGTGTTAGTTTTGTAATATCATCTACTAGTAAAACATCTAGAGAGTTTATTTCACTGTACAATTCAGAAATGCTTTTCCCATTATAAGCAAAATATAAAATATCTGAGTGTGGTGTGTATTTACTGAGTCCATTATCACCCCTCTAGTTCTTGTTTCCAGAGTCACTTCAGTAAAGCTTTTTCTTGTTGACATTGTGTGTCCCATCAAAATTAGCAAGGTACACCCTGTATTTTGCACTGGTAATATGAATTATTTTTCAAAGACTTATGGTCAAACTATTAGTTCATTTAATGACTATTATTTTTTTTAAAAGCTCATTTTTATGTGGTTTTAATTTAATTTAGAAATTTTATCAACCTTCATAGTATAGTATTTATGAAGTGTTCCTTTTTCTTTTAGACACCCTTTCACCAGCATCCAGTCCTTCATCCATTAATTTTGCCACAGCTGCAGGTAGCATAGATGAATCATCCAATGGAGCATTAAACATTGAATGTAGAATATGTGGGGATAAAGCCTCAGGCTACCATTACGGAGTACATGCTTGTGAAGGCTGTAAGGTACAGTCATCATTTTCTTCTTAAGAACTTAAATCACATTGCTTTATTTACAGGGTAATGCGAGCATAAACATTTGGTACAGAAATGTCTGATTGTGACAGTACTAGCCATTACAATTATTTAAATATAAACATATCTGTGATCTTTTTCCTGAAGTAAATTGTTCAGACACCGTAACTCAATAGCAGACCTTTATCAAGCAGGAGCAATTTGCAATGATCATTTTAACACTGCTTTTCTGGATATAGTTAGTTAAGCACTAAAAAAACTTAAAACACCAAACTGTGACCAAAAATGAAAGCCTTCCTGCTCCCCTAGTGTTTTGTTTGTGTTGGGAGTATGGCTGCAAGGAGCATGCCAGTCTGCTAGAGCTCCATTGTAACAGTAACAAATCCCGAATTTCTCATCTCTGCCACATTCTGCCTGAATCACTTGGCATTGTGCCTCTTGTAGTTTTGGGGCCAGGGCACATCTCTGGAGCAAATTACTCTAATCATGAATGTATCATTTTTTGGGATGATATGGCCTATGAATTACAAGATTCTTTTCTTTTTCATCTAATTTTTTAGTTTTGGACTTTTTTTTGCATTACAACACGAGAGGAGAGAACTCTGTGTACAGTCTTCTTTCATGCACCATGTCAGAATATGCTCATGTGAATATAAATCGTACGGAATAATGCAGAGTAGCTACTAGAGGTGGGGAACCAGTCCACAGCCAGGTGTGTCCCCCAGTCTAAATGCCATGTTGTTGTGTCATGGCACAAAAGGTTGGGTTGCCTGTGGATTTGCTGCCCCCATGGTTTCAGAGTTTGTAACCAGCATCAAGACATTGTGGTGAGAGCTGTTGGGGTATAGACTGTTCTGTAACACTCAGCTTTGTGTCCTTGGCACTTCTGTGCACTGTGCTGTGTCCTCATACCCCTCGCATGCGCTGGGTGAAGAAAGCCTGTTGATTCTCTGTGTGTGTGTGACTTACACTGTAGAAGATGAAGAGTATTTCTGGCAGAGGACACTGAGAGAACAGTAACAGAAGTAATATGTGACTGTTTTGTTTCATCCCTAAGTGCAGATCTGCTAAGGTACTCTGGGTTCTTGGTTATTTACCCCAGGAGAGAGAGCTGAGAGCTGCTCCCTCCCTGTCATGTTCTCCATTCTGAACATGCCCTTGGACCACCACTCCACCATGAGTATTTGTACTTCTAGTCAGGTTATACCTTGGGAACTGTTTTGCAAGTGACATCATTAAACAATAAAAGAGAAAAAATTACCTGTATGATTGAAGCTTAATAGTCAACATTCTTTAACATTACATATTGTTTTTTCAAACTCTTTATAGGGCTTTTTTAGAAGAACAATTCGTTTAAAACTCATCTATGATAAATGTGATCGCAACTGCAAAATTCAGAAAAAAAATCGTAATAAGTGCCAGTACTGTCGTTTTCAAAAGTGCCTTTCAGTTGGAATGTCACATAATGGTAGGTAAGAGTGCCCTTAATTTGTTTGTTCCTACCCAGAGTCTGCTGCTGGTAGTAGGCTTTTGGATAGTGTTTTTACTCATACACATGGATTGAACCTCAAATTTTTTATGGGATAGATCCCAGCGGGGGACACCAGTTTCCCTGGTGGGTTCATGTAGCTGGTACAGAGCTGCCAAATGTGCCACTATGAGTTTTACACAGTTGTGCTGGATGTCAATTTGTCCATATGTTCGTTTATTTGCTTTCTTCACCCAGAACTTTGGCATCAGTACTCCAATTGAATCAAATTTCAGTACTGGAAGAATTCTGATCAAGGGCTTTGTAGAGGAGTAGGAGGAGAACAACTAGCTCATTGTGAAAGGGAATGACGTAGGATGGAAATCTGTAGGAAAGCAGACTTTGTTATTTTTCAGGTTACAGTGCAAAAGCTCTTGAGCAGATGGTTCAGAAAGTGGACGTGGGGGGAGGGTGAAGATCTGTGCTGGCTGTGGCACAGGAATCCAGTAGGTTGTTTGTTAAATAGAATGGTAAAAATTCAGAGCACTTAGATATCCAGTTTAAAAGTTATGTTGTTGTTTGTGTTAGTGATTTAAGATAAGGGTGGTAAGTCTGTGGCTTACAGACCAATTTCAACCATGAGGCAGGACACAGCTTATTGAGCAACATGGATGAAGAGGGAGAGGCCAAGCCATGAGAAAGCACATTTTGTTGGCCAGATGACAGTAGTTTGCTTTCCTTATGTAGGTCAGGTCTTGCCAGGGCTGAACTTGGGGGCAGGTGCAATTTGGAAGTGGGTGAAAATGCTGGGCTAGGTGAAAAGCTCTGGGTTAGGTGACAAACTTCCTAAGGAAACTATGCAGTCAGGATAGCTGGGGTGGGAACATAGTTGGGGAAGCTGCTTATGACATTGTAGTCAAGAGTCCCAGCAGAAGGCATCAGGAGAGTTGACTTTCTGGTTCTGCTCCCTTGTGGTGAGCCCTGACTGAGACTGAGGTCCATTGGGAGACTCTCTGCAAGACTAGTGATAACTATCCTGAAGCAGCAGACTTGGGAAAAGCGTGCCAGCCAGTGAAGTGACATCTCAGGGGCAGGAGCTGAGCGGGGAGCTGTGCTGGTTGACAGGAATTGACATCCATTTGAAGCTGTTTCACCCTACTTAAGACACTGGCAATATTTCTCTGGATAAAAGCTAGAACTAAATTTACATCAATGACCGTAAAACTGTATGTTTTGGTTTAGAGCAGGTATTCTTCCACTTTTTCATTAGATTGCTGTGATGACCCATCTGTAAGGGGAAGGAAGCACCTAAGCCAGATTCCAAACAGGCCTTCCATGTTGGACTTCCACTGAAGTCCACAGCTGTATGTCAGATCATGTCTAGCGTTACCTCTTTCATGAGAAGATCCCCTGGACACATGTAAGGGCTAATGCTGCACGTACCCTGAATGGCTCAGTCCAAGCAGCGAGGTCCCTGCTTGGGTGCTGAAATGCAGAATGAGTAACTTGCTGCAAGAGCCATCTCAAACTCTTGCACGCTTCCAATGGGCAAAGCCCTTTTTAAAGTGGAGCTGATTTAGTTTGAAACTGAGACTGAAGGAGGTGGGCTCACCTGTTTTATAGCTAAATGGCAAGACCACTTGCCCAAGAACCAGGAGACCTTTGTACCCAGGAGTGTTCAGAGCCAGCAGTGGGATCCGGGCCGGCCTCTGCTGCAGCTCTCCAGCTGGTGTGTGTGCTTTCTGCCAACTCCTGTCAGGAGTTCACTCAGTTTGTTGCAGTTCCCAGGGTAGACTTTGAGTTTCACACTGGGAGCTGTAGAACACAATAAGGACAAAACAAAATACAAGTACCTAGGTAATGTAGGAGGGAAAAGGCATGTGTTCTACCTAACTGCAGATACCAGTTTGTGTTCTGAAACATCTGATTTCCTTCAGTTTAGTGTATTAGTCACCACTAACTGTGTTGGAAAAGAGGAGATTTCTTCACCTCTACCTCAGTTTTTCTAGACAGAAAGTCTTACTACTTTAATCAGCAATGGTAAAAGCCTTTAATTTCTTTATAACTTAAGATTGTTTTACAATTATATCTTCCCATCAGCAATACGTTTTGGAAGAATGCCAAGGTCTGAGAAGGCCAAACTGAAAGCAGAAATTCTAACAGGTGAAAATTATGTAGAAGATTCAGAAATGGCAGATCTTAAATCACTTGCCAAAAGAATTCATGATGCTTACCTGAAAAACTTCAATATGAACAAGGTTAAAGCCAGAATCATCCTTGCAGGGAAAACCAATAACAATCCGGTAAGTACTTTTTCTGTTACTTTAAGATAAAGCTGGCAAGTACATAAGGTGATCATAACAATTTGTTAAACTCTTTAGCAAATCTTTTAGAAAATAAATATTACGCTCCTACAGACATGAAATATTCAAAAAGAATACCTATACTAATATGGTTGTTTTTAACCCCTATCAGAACAGTAAGAGGCTTTAGGAAAGTCAGGTAATTAACATGTAAGTGGAAACTCATAAAATTAAATTGTAACAGACACACATGGGAATGAAAATTAGTTATTAATCAAAAAACAAAGTGACATCTGAATGTGAATAGCTCTTGATATGGGGGAAATGGTTCAAAATTAATTTCCTATTATGACAGTGGAAAAAAATTATAATGTTTTTCTGTCACAAATGTCAGAATAAATACTATTATCTTGTAGGCTGTACAGGAGCTCTGCATGACTTCTTTTAAAATCAGAACAATATTAATAGCAGGAGGGGAAAGAAAAGGAGATAGTAATTTTTTACTGACAGTGCTGGCCATTTCCTCACCCAGGCTTCCTGCTCTTTACTATACAGTTACTTTGAGAGGCAGAAGTGAGGTCGTGAAGACACATATGCTGTAGAAGTTATTTTTCTTTCAGGATAATATAGCCAAGGTCTACCTAATGCTATCTAACTGCTTTTTGTTTTCTATCACAGGAGAGTGTATAATCGTTGTAAGGACTGGCTTGTTTCATTTTTTGCATATTTATTTAGGTTCAGTTGTGACTTTTGTTACTTACATGTAGAAGATAAGTATTTTATTTTACCAACAACTTCAGTTTCAGTAAAAATTTGCAGGGAAGAGGTTTTCATATGCCGTAATGAAAACCATGTAAGTGTGGGGATGAGTGTTATAAAAATTACAAGCAAGCTGTCTTCCACATTATGGAATTTGGCATATTGCAGTCTAGTCTAGCCAAGCCTACAGCTTTCTGCATTAAAAGAGAGACATATGAATTATCCCAGGTTTTTCATTGGATTAAAGAGATGTGTAAAATTAAGCACAGGCCTAAACATTTTAGGGGGTAGAAGCTGACATAAGGCTACAGTAAATACCACGTTTAACACCTCACTGGGTGGGTTTCTGCAGAAAGTCCCTTTCCTACATGTCACCACCTGTCAGAACCATAAGGCAAAACAATATGTATTCACGTAAAGGGATGGGTCCCAGAGCACTGCATTCCAGTTCTTGTGTTTGCATGTGCGTGGTCACAGCCACATGCTTGAGCAGCCCATGGTGCCTGGCGTGTCGGGGGAATTTACAAGGAAAAATTAGGGAGGAATCAGACCTAGTATGTTATGCCTCCAAATTTTTCAATGTGCAAGGAAGAGGAGAGGGTTTTTAGCCTATTTCATCATCTCTTGAGAAAAGGAACATTTTAGTTTTCTTTCGACCTTTTAGCAGTAAAACAAATTTTAAAAGAAGGGATTTGTTGCTTGTAATTAGCAACCCACCTTTTTTGAAGCTGTGCCTTAACAGCTGATTTCAGTGAATCCTAATTTATGGCACCACTGCAATTAATTTCAGAATGAAGAAGGATTTCTCATGATACTAAGGTGTCATTTTTAAAATTTAGCTCCTAAGTCTTTGGCCATACCTCTTTTCTGCATAGTGATATGATGATAAATTCCAAAACGTGTATAAGGTAGTGTACATATTTAAAAGAATTTAGAGATGTGGTGGGTTTCTTGCTGTGTCACTTTCCACTCATATCCACCTGCCAGAAAGTTCTGCTCTGTGCTAGTGAGAGGTGGAATATGTAGTTGCCATAAGCATTTAAAAAGTGGACAACCATAGGAAACTCACCTCTTTGACAGTTTTCTGAGTGAAATAAATTAATCCTATGAGTTTCTAACAGAACACCAAGTGCTTCTCATGGCATTTGATCTGAGATGAGCAAAACAGCAGAGGAAAGGAACTAGATTTCTGTTCAAAGTCAGTTGCCATGACTCTGCTAGGCTGGGAAGCTTTGGGGTTTGTTGTTTTTCTTTAGTGGATTGCCCTTTGTTTTGATTATTGCTCTGCAGATATGTATCAAAATATTTTTGAGTTCTGATTATTCTGAAGAAAGGCTGAAAGCTGCTTTTCATAGGACGTTTTAAGAGAGTGGCTTGTCAGTTTGTAATGCACATACCTTTCTAAACAAAAGGGGTTATGGAAAAGACCAAATTTTGTGTTATCTGACATTCTAGTGGTATTCTGTGTTTAGAGATGACTCAGCACCAGCTGCAGTTAGAAAGGTGGGACAGCTGGGATATGGTTTCTAAAAATCTGATAGCGAAACAGGAGTAATGCAGGGTTCACACTGCAGTCCTATATTGAAATGACTATCTGTATTCCTCCTAGGATACCTCAGGAAAGCGTCACAATGTGCATCAGGTGTAGTTAGTTTAGGAATTGATAGGAGTGTAGGCAGAATAGCCTAGGCTTCTGGAGAAGGTAATACAAGTTTTTTGTGAACCTTCTGGTACTTGCTCTGAGATGGGTATATGCATACTAAGCCCAGGACACTGTAACCATTAGATCAAATTAAATTAAAGACACTTTTACATTGGACTATTTGCAGTGGTGTTTGCAGGGAAGACTTTTTAGGTATTGCAGTTTGTAGTTCTGTCATACAGTGTTTCTCCTGATGCAGAAATAGGAAAGAGCTCAGGGTTTACAGTAGTTGGAGTCTGATTAGCATGTAAATCAAAGTTTATTAAAATTCCTATTCTTTAGGAAGCCAATGATTAATAGCCTTTATTTTATAACTACATTAGTGGTTTTTTTTTGCTCTGTAGCCATTTGTTATCCATGATATGGATACCTTATGTATGGCAGAGAAGACCCTGGTGGCAAAATTGGTAGCAAATGGGATTCAGAACAAGGAAGCAGAAGTTCGAATATTCCACTGCTGCCAGTGCACGTCTGTAGAAACCGTCACAGAACTTACTGAGTTTGCCAAATCCATCCCTGGCTTCTCCAACCTTGACTTGAATGATCAAGTGACACTATTAAAATACGGAGTTTATGAAGCCATATTTGCCATGTTGGCGTCTGTGATGAACAAGGACGGGATGCTGGTAGCCTATGGGAACGGTTTTATAACCCGGGAGTTCCTGAAAAGCCTGAGAAAGCCATTCTGTGATATAATGGAGCCAAAATTTGATTTTGCAATGAAATTCAATGCACTGGATTTGGATGATAGTGATATATCTCTTTTTGTTGCTGCAATCATTTGCTGTGGAGGTAAGCATTACATATTTGTTGTCTAAGGCAGTACATCTTAAAATTTCCCCTTAAAATTTTAATGGAAAAGCTTCAATCCTTCTTGAAGATTCAGTTCTACCTCTAACTATACTTTTACGAGTCATTATAAAATTATGACATGTGTTCTTTTGCTTGTTTTGAGAACAGATCGTCCTGGTCTTGTAAATGTAGGACACATTGAAAAAATGCAGGAGAGCATTGTGCACGTACTGAAACTTCACTTGCAAACCAACCATCCTGATGACACCTTCCTCTTCCCAAAACTTCTCCAAAAAATGGCTGACCTCCGACAGCTTGTCACAGAGCATGCTCAGCTCGTTCAGATAATCAAGAAGACTGAATCTGATGCACATTTACACCCTTTACTACAGGAAATCTACAGGGATATGTATTAAGGATTTTTAGTATTTTTTCCACAATATTTAAAGACACAGAAATACATATGGGAGCAAAACTACTTGCACAATTATGTGCTGTTCACTCAACCCAGAGCATGAAAAGTCTAAGACTGGGGAACTGGAGTGTTACACTTCTTTTGGTTTGGGATCTTTTGCCTTCTTTTGAAAGAGTTCTGCAAAAAAATTCTGGTCAGAGTGCTCAATGAAGTGTCTTACAATGGTTCTTTTATTTTGAAAATTGAAGATTGGTAAGGAATACATATTTGTGGAATAAATCAGAATATTAAGTAACAGAAATGAACAAAATTTTATTTCCTCTTGGCTTAGTCATTTTAGAATTAATATAACAAATTCAGCAATTTCCCTCCAGGTGTATGCACAATCAGAAAGATGATGCACTTTTGCCTAATGGTAATTACTAAAACCAGCTAACACTTTTTCCTAGTCCAGGTGTAGCAAATTGCTGAATATTACTGTTCATACACTTCTAAAAGATTGGAAAGACCTTTGATCCACTGCTGTTTTAATTCCATTAGATGATGTGCAGCTTCATATAGTTGGCATACCTTAGGATTAGCATGTTTAAAAGACGGTTCTTTTATGAAACAAAACAAAATCCAAATAGTTACCTAAAATACTGCAGAGCTGCTCCAACAGGTGTTTCTTGAAGAGTAAATGTGATAAAGTGATGGAATCCTTTTTTTTCAGAAGTATTTTAAGGAAATGTGGAAATGTTCCTGAGGTAAAATGTCATATGCCATATATATTTTGGAGAACTTGTTATAGCTCAAGATGCAGTTTTGAAGTAGAAATACTGTTTTGAATTAGCAAGAGTTTTGGAGAGATCAAAAAATCTGATCCCAGCCCAGAAAAAAAAAAGAATTTCACCTTCATAGCATTCTGCTGCAGTGATAGCTGACTCTGAAAGAATGATTAGATAGGAAAAGCACCTTCTCCCTTGACAAGATGTATTGTAGTTGTTTGGACCTGTTTACTCTTCTGAAGAATACACTGCTTCATTTTTTCCAATTATCCACCTGGATATATTACCTTCTTAGGCCTTGTTGATAGAAGTGTTTGCTATGTTGTTTTGTCCTCAGGGATAAGGTGACAATATTACCAAGAACAGTGATTGTAGGTGTTGGACCGTGTAATAATAGGAAAGACAGCACAGATGAGAGTAAGTCTGTCGTGTTCCTAAGATAAACTCTGATTTTTACAATGGTACCTTAGTCTTGATGCAAAATAAGCCATAAGGAAACGGCCTCACTTCTTTAAGGGCTCTGTCCTCAAAGAGTACTGCCCAGAACTGACAGCTGCATGCAAGGCACTGCTGTTTCTGTTTCTTTTTGTTTCTTTGATATGGTAACTTCACATTATTAATAACTAATTTTACTTTCTGTTTCATAGCACCAAGGTCTCAGGAGTCAATCTGAGCATTTTCACTACAGTTAAGCTTTCAGTGGCACAGGAGGACACTTTGTATTTGTTTAATTGTAGCACATTTGGAGACACAAGAGTCTTCACTGCAAGAATTGAGTGAGACTGATGAAGTAAGAACATCACACTGTGATCCTTATTTCAGTGGCAATGCTGCCAATGTTTCTGTCCAGGCCTATGGACACTGGGTAAATTACAGGTTTAAAGGCAACTTGGGGTTTATCTGGGGGAGGGTCATGAGCAGAGGCTTTAGTGTCAGGTATATTTAGTGTAAAATACTGAAGCATAGGCCTTACATTTTGTGACCATCTAGGGCAGGATAGAAACAGTAAATGCAGGTGCACAAAACTTCCTCCGCTTTGCTGTTGCCAACCGGCAGCAGGAAAAACAGGCCTCAAACGCTTCCATCGAGAGGACCGTTGGCCTTGCCAGGAACCTGTGGGTGAGAAAAGGGCTGACCTTAGTGTCTCAGAGCAGCAGGCAGAGTGCCCTCAGAAACACAGACAGGATTTCAGCTAAGCTGCTGCTTCATCCTCCTAATCAGCCCCATTGCACCGAGGAGCTGTGGGGTTTAGGCCTACAACATCCAGCATGGAAATAATTGATATGCAATATTGCTAATGCAAAAAATTGTCATTCTGGGCTGGCATACTGAAACTTTAGCAACCAGCTGTTAAGTTTATCTTCTAAAAAAATAAAAAAAAAGGTAACTTGAATTTTTTTTCCCACAAAGCTCAGATTTTTGCAAAGGGCAAACTTCAAAGTTGTGTTCCATAGTCTGGGTGTACTGAAGGTCCTCAGGAAAACCAGACACAGTCAGTGTGGCCAATAACCATTCTTTCTTCTCCTGTTCTCAAAAGTGGCTAAAACACTTTAGTGAAACCCTTGAAAAACACAGAAAATTTAATAATTTAAATGTTTAATAATAATAAAACTTAATAATTTAAGAATACTTAAATTCTCAGCAGAGCTGTAAAGAATTGAAAACAGTGTAAGACATAACATTTAGCTATCTTAGCAGCTGCTTTTTACAGGGTCCTATAATCAGCATTAGAAAAGCGAATATTTTTTTGTTGTTTGAAAACCAGCAAGCAATATTTGACTAGTTCCTTGGACACTAAAGTTTTATTTCTGTTTTAAATCAAATTGCAGACCTTTAATGAGAGGAAAAAAAAAAAAAAAAAAGAACACATCTCTGAATTACAAAAATATGAACAAGATGTTAACACAGAGTGGGTTCCAGTGCCTACACTGCTGCCCTGTGCACATTCCCACAGTCACTTGAAAGAGTGACACAAGGCTGACAGTTTCCTTCCTGAGCATTAATGGGCAAAAGAAGTTCTTCATTTCTACATTACGCTTTTCAGGAGTTGCATTTGCTCCTTCAGGAGGTGTCTGCAGCAGGCTTTGGCCAAGCAGATTTTAACATTACTCAATTTGTGTCCTTTATTAAAGTTTGGAATCTGAACTAGTCTATTTCTGATCTATTACTTCAGCATCTGCCCTGTACACAGATCATCTAGTATTTTAAAATACCCCTTCTATGGAGGGAAATAAAGTGATCAGATTTTAGGATTTAAAATGTATTAAAAGGTACAGTTTGGATCAGATTCTTACCAGCATAACTTGTTTTACTGTCGTAGCACAGAAGAACTCGGGTTAGCAACCAGGCACCACAAACAGCTTAAGCCAAGAGAGAGCAGATGGATAGAGAAATATCCTGGGAAAAAATGGTATAACATAAGTTTTCAGCAAACTTACAGCTTTTTTTTTCCCCCATTTTTGAGGGTTGTTTGGGGATTATGTATTTATTTATTGGTGTGCCCTAGGTATTTTGACAGAGGGAAAGGAAGAAAAGGAAGGGTTTGTGCCCAGTATTAAAGGAAATCTGATGTTCATTCTTCTCTCCTGAAATATTTTCTTTAAACGTGCTGTTTTAAAAAATCAGTTACTTTGTATCTTTTTAAATTTCAAATCCCACTTTTGTTTAAAACAAATTGGCACATCATAGGAAAGTTTCTGCTTACAGAAACTGCATCTTTTGTAGCATTTAAAGAAACCACATTTTGTATTTAATTGCCATTTCCATGTGCCTTTGAGCTTTGGTTCAAAGTTGAAGTGTTGCCAGAGAGCAGAGTTTTGCATTGTTTCTGTCCTGCACAGATTTCGGAAATACCAGCGGCTGCACTAAGCCCGTTCTCATGAGAGAGCTGGCACAAGGCTGCACATCAAAGAGCTTATAATAAGCATCTAAACATTTGTTTGTTTATTCAAACTGCTGAAACTTGGGGAGATTTATTCATCACGAGCGCTGGGGCACATATGATTGAATTTGAATTTCCTCTTTATTTCTAATGGAAAGCCTGGACAAACTTGGGCAACCACCTCAGGCAGAGCCCCTGAGGAAGATCCCGCTGTGGCTGCAGAGGAACAGTTTCAACTCTGTCCCTCTCTGAAAAGCTCCCCGTGACTTAGTTGAAAATCTGCAACTGCATTTGACAAATGCATTTGCAGCTGTTGTGATACTGTTCAAGCATAAGGTCTTACAAATAATGGTCCTTCCCAGAAACCCCTTGTCCTTTAGGAAATGTTGAATCTGGTGGAGTGTGGTATCTGGTGCTTGCTTATATCTGAAGTGCTTTCCTGATAATCAGTTGCATATAATTTTTGCATCTAGGTTTAATCAGCTTTATTACCCTTCTTTTACCAGAGATTTTATTTATATACGGGTTTGATCTCAGATTATTGACATTGTTATATGTTGTGGGATTTTTTTAATTTAAAGTAATATCATTTCTTCATGTTTCAGTTTGTAAAATACAAGAATATAATTGCAAGGTATAAACTTTAAATTAATTACGGAGATGCTTAAAAAAAAATTTGTAAATTATTTAATTTAAATATTTGTTACATACTTTATCTTGTGAACCCTTTTGTACAGTAAGGAAATATTTACTTCTATGGGCTAAGGATGAAGAGGGTGAAGTCAAATTGCTATTTATTCCTGTCTGGTCTTTATTGCTGTATCATTTGTAAAGTATCACAAATTCTACAAGTTATCAGTGTTTGGTGTTGACAGTTGTAACAAAAATTTACAATACATTTTCACATAGAACATAGACTTCCTTTTATTTGATTTTAATAAAAGCAAGTCTAGTTGAGGAAGAGCTGTAATCCTAAAATCAAGGTTTTAACTTGAGTTCACCAATCCAAAATGTAGTTCGTAGAACTGAATTATCTTTGCTTTGTAGCCTGGTAGCTCGTTTTCCTTTGAAGTCTGAAAAGAGCTAAAAAGCTGCATTCAGTTCATGCGCCAGCACTGGTGTTTTTGGAGGAACTGACTCAGGGCTCACTGGCAGTAACAATGTGTGCTCAGGATTATTCCCTGCCACCTGCCCTGACAGCGAGCGGCAGCTTTTATAGATGCATTTTCAAACCCATGATTTGGCAGTGCAAAACAAAATGCTGAAATGCCATTATTGGCTTTCCTATGGGAGTACAGGATTATAAATAGAAGTGAATTCAGAGTCTGCTTATGGGGATTCTGTGTCTTGTGATGCAGGTGTGACAGTCTGTGCCTACAGCATCCTGCTGAGGAAATGAAATACAGGGACAAAGGTACCTTTCAAAGGTATCTACCTTTTATCTTGCTGTAATCCAAACACAGCAGTTACCACAAGCACAAGCTGTTACAAATGCTCTAGCAATCATTTGTACTTCCTTTTATTTGTAACAGAAAATTTGATTTCCTCAAATTGCTGCAACTTGATATATTCACCTGGTTGGTGTCACCACAGAGGTGTGTTGTCTTCTGAGGTGTTTGTGTCATGTCTGTCCAAGCTCTACTGGATTCCCAGTGCTCTCCTGCAGCCACTTCCTCCCTCAATCGTGCTGGCAGTGAGAAACACCGTGTGAAAGGGACTGATGGAGCCACTACTTTACGCTGTGACACAGACCTGGTGTAACTGAGCCCTCCCGAAGGAAGGCAGGGTGTTTCCTCCTTTCTTTTCTCCAATGTACTTACAGGGGTTTTTTTAATCTTTTTTCTGCTTCTGAAGCTGGGGTGTTGTTTTTTTTCTTGATCTCCTTCACTGATTGCGTCAGCTGATCTTGTCAGATTCCATTGCAAGGATGTTTCGGTACAGAATTCCTATCGCAAGGACCTCAGTTCCAGATGAGCTGCCTCTGCCAGGGCATAGACAGCATGCATGAAAGAGACTACTCTGATTACAGGTTCAATCTTAAGGAAGGACCGCAAGATTAAGCAAAAGGTACTTGAAGTTGTTTTTCGGTATTTTGGTATATTTTCTCAGGTTGGATATGAAGGTACCATAATCCCTATCATGGTAAGGACACCAGCCTTATGCTCAGTGCATGGAGTTTCATGGCATTCTTTATACTTGAAATTAGAAACATTGGGAGGATGAAAAATCCTGACCCACCAAAATAGCAGCAGTACACAAGCAGCATGTTGCTATCCTGCTGTGTTGGAGTGCGGTGCCATCAGTCTGTCTGGATGTGCTGCAGAGCCGGGCAGAGTTCCCACACCTCAGGGGGTGACACACCCACACACCACGCAGCGCTGCCCACACTGAGTCGCCTGGCCCATTGCATGTCCCCACACAGCATCTCCCCATGCGACACAGTGCCTTGGCCCTCAGGAGAGGAGGAAGGTTTATGGATTTGGTTCCTTCTGTGGTAATAACCAATCTAATCAATGTTCCAACAGGACACATTTGCACAAGAACTCTCCCTCAGCAGCTGGACAAAATCTGTTTTAGGAGCTTCTGGGATGAGCTGCATCCTGTGTGGCTCCTGCTGTTTCCTACTTGCTCAGAATTTTCTTTAGGAATGCAGCACTACAGCTTAATTATGTCATGATGTTAAGGCCCCCTCTCACATCTTAACTGGTCTGTTAGCTGGTATGACAAAAAAAAGCAGGGTGTTTAATGCTGCCAAACCCTAATCACTAGAGCTAATGAGTGTTTCACTAAATCAAAATATCAATATTAAAGAGGAAAAAAAAACCCAACCAGCTCACTGTTTCCAGTCATTCATTTTTAGAGATTTTGGGTTACATTTAATTACAGTAAATACAGAACTTAGAAAGAGCAGACATTTCTTGCAAGGAATAGTCAAACCTAATTCTCATGGAATGCTTGTTTCCCAGCAAAACCCACTAATTCAAGCCAAGTTCCCAAGTTTCTTTCTGTCAGAACAATGCAAATGACACTTCCAAGGACAAATTAAAGCTCTGGTCTCACAGGGATTTTTAGGAACGAATATATATCTTACACTTGTGAATGTAACAGTTACATTTAGCTAAATACAATGACACTTCTCAAATGTTACCAGCCTACTGATCTAGGATGAAAAAACTTGAACTAAACATTTTTTTCTTTTTTACATTCTGATTTTTTTTGTCTTTAAAAATAAGAGGTTGAATTCACAGTGTTTGTATAGAGACTGGTAGGAACCTATGTGCTTTAAAAAAAGTAATTCTTTCAGACTGAATGTAAACCAACTTAATTTGAAATACGGTTTTGCCTTAACGGTTGTAAGAAAAATAAAGTATTTTTAAAAGTGAATTTACTGCCTTGTGCTAATCTTTTATTTCCAGGAAAGGAGCTTACTGCAAAAAGGTATCTGAAATGTTGACTTCTAACATGGATCTTTTTTTCCACAATTAGAGACATATTTTATGTCTTAAAGCACTTAGAGCTTGAAAAGGCTACTAATAGGTCCTTTATTGCTCCTCTAGTCACTGCAAGAAATTCTAGTCCTTAACAGAGGACACCAAAATACTATGCCCAGAAAAAAGAAAGATTTTAGGACACTCAGATGTCCTAATACCTAAAAATAACTCATTGAAATGATGATGATTTCTTTTAACAGAGACATGTTCATTCTACTAAAATGATCAGGTTTAGATGTTGTTCTGTGACAAGTTATATGCATGGATAAGTTGAAAAAAAAGAGATGTTAACCAATGCAGTAACAGGTTCTGAAATAATGACCAACAAAAACTTGAGTAAAAAAGGTGATTTTGTATTAGGGAGCTTTCTAAACATATCCTTAGGGTGTGTGACTGGTTTTACGTAAAAGCCACCTAAATCATCTTTTAAGACAGTCAAAACAGGTGACTGAGAAGCTAACTTTTGAGCTAAAGAAACTGCTGTTTCTGTAACAATTTTTTACTCTTTTTTAACTGAAACTGTTTCTGACATCTCTATTATAGATCCAGTTTAATTGTCCAGTTCAGAAAGAATTGAGCTTATTAATGGAATTTTTTATGTCCAGATTAACTGATGTGAAAGTGAAAAGGAAGTCACCTTTATTGTAAAGCATAAACTTGATGTGTTCAGGGTCCTCCCCAATTGCTGTACTGACATGGACTGGAAGGTTGAGTGACTGCAAGTGCAAAGGACTTGTAAGTATTTTTATTGGTATTTTATTATAGGAGCACCAATGTCCAGAAGTCTCAATGCTATGATAGTATTGAGATTATCATATTGAAAAATTCAGGTATTTCTATGGTATCAGTGACATTTTCTCGTAAAGGTTTATTTTAGACTTAAAGCTCTAAATTCCCTGTAATAACTGTAATCTTACCAGCACAGCACTGCCAGATTAAAGACTGGTGTATGGTGACTTTCTTGGATGAATTAAGCCAGTTAAATGTGTCTCAGATAACACTGTAGGCGTGTCAAGAACAACACAAAGCATTCAAGTAGCAAATGTGTAAATTTGGACATGGTTCCTCTGCTGTTTGGTTTTTTGCAACAAGCACTTTACACAATGACAGCAGGCTCCTCTGCCTTCCTTCCTGGCTCTTCCATACCTTGGAGTCGTTCCGCTGGCTCTGCAGCTGCTGCACAGTGATGTTGGAACCCAGTGTAAGGAAATGTGTTATTCTCTTCAGTGAGCTGATGAAGGTTACTACTTTAAAAGGAGCAATATGCTAGTCTCTGAACAGAGAGAGGAGAAACCCCAGCCAAAGAACTGTCACTCTTGGTCCTTCAGGATTTATGTTTTGTATGTGTTTTTTTGGAGGATTTCTGCTGGGGCTTCCTTTTATCCATGTCTTCTTGTATTTCCAAAGGAAAGGCTTTTATATTTTCCTTCACACAGGGAAGACAGAACCTTTTGGAGTAGAACAGACTACATTCCTGTAAAAAAATAACATTATTAGCAGGATACACAAAATGGAAATGCTTAAGTTCCAGTCTCATTAAACTACATTTCTATTTAGAATCCTTCTAAAATTAATTCTTCTTCTAGGCTGGAATATTTCAGCAATTTTTCTTACTCAATAATTCTAAGATCTGGTTAGAGTCAACTGGGTGAAAAATAAAACCTAGGTCTGAAATAAGCACTAACCAAATCAACTGTTCCACTGCTCCTATTAAAGTGGCCTTCACCAGCTCCCTGCTGCAGGGAACAGCAACACACCTCCTTCAGCTGCCTTGTCCTTCCAGCATCATCCATGCGTTTCCTGGCCTGATCACTGAATTCCAAATAGGATTTTTTGGGTAAGCTGGTGCTGCTGTTTCTGATAGATTACTCTTGGAGAGTTAGACATGAATAAAGATATAATGGATTCCATTATATTTTGGTTTTACCAAAACAGCAAAGTTTTGCTCTAAAGCTAAAATCCTGGTTTATGAAGATTTCTCCCTTCTGGGAGGGTCTTCCAAATTCCTGCACTGGTATGTGAGACTTGCAGTCTCAGCACACTCATCCTCACCAATCTCCACAAAAATGGCCTGGAGGCCAACACAAGTACCAAGTAGGTACGCAGGGGGCTGTGAGCTCTCAAAGACCTTAGCCGCTTTTCCTTAGCTCCCCAGAAAACGACTCTTCGTTCTATTAATCCATGCGCCTGTATTGTCCTAGGAGAATAGGATACTAAAAAGTATCACTATTATATCAATATCACAGAGGTGTCCAATACCCAGAATAGCGACATGAATTCCCCTCAGATGAGACAATTCAAATGAGATTTCATCCATTACGCACCTTTACCCTCAGTGAATGTACTCACTGGTTAAAACCTAAAAACATACCTAGTACTAAAGCTCGAGCTGATGGCTCTTCTCTGAACTCTTGATGGCAAAGCATAAAAGCTGCTGTGCACAAAGAAGATATTTTCACTGTCCTTGAAATGGAATGACACTGCAACCAGACAGACTGTTCACAGCTAGTTTGGTTGTCAGCAAGTGCTACAGACCCAGTATTTATTTTTTACCCAGGAGCTGTCACCAGATGTTAGTTACTGAATAGGGAGAAGCAAAACCTATGGAATATTTTAATCTATGTGCAGTATAGAGTTTGAACCACCAGAAGAGAAGCTTCTTAATGTATTATTCCTTTGCCCTGCAGCAAGACTGACATCCATGGTTTTCCTGATGTGCTGATCACCAAATTCCAAATAGGATTTCATGGGTAAGCTGGAGCTGGTGTTGCTGATGGATTATTCTTGGGGATTTAAGCATGAATAAAGACATCGGTTTAGATAGAACTGGACATCTTTTGGGGAGAAATGGATTCCCTGGGTCTTACCTACATAGCAAAGACCCTTGCCATGGTCATTTGTAGCTGGCTTTCTTCTGGGAGTTTGGCTTAGCTATTCTTGTGTTTCTGTCCTTGCTTTTGTTTCCTATGTCACTATCTAGGCTTTAGCAGCAGATTCAGCTGGTAATTATATCAAAATCACAATCAGCCTGGTTCCATGTGACTTGGAAGCTTGAAGAACAACTTCTTTCATCCGTTGTCCTTTTCTGCATCGACTGCAAGGCCCCTTCATAATTCAGGAACTAGTGTGAGGCCTTCATCTCTGAAAAGCCTTGAAACTGGATTTCAGTTGCACAACCTCCAGAGCCTATTGTTTTTTGTCTCTTGGTATCCTTAATACTTTAAGCTGCCAATTGAAAAGGGAGATTAGGATTTGAATTGGTTTGAGTTGTTTGCATTGCAGTCCCCCCTCCGTGTCCCCCCGGGTAAGCTCAGGGCTCCGAGTGGTGGCCCCTGGGCCATGGCAAAGAGGGACTGTTACCACATCTCCAAAATTAAGATGTAGCTCCTCCCAGGAAATATAGGGGCTCAACTTGCATTCTTTTGGCTAAAATGAGCTGCCAGCTGGTGCTGATTTTGGCCAACGGGACTTAGGCACATCATGACTATGAACCATTGCACAACTGAGTGCTGGGTCCACATATCCTTAGTCCTCCTCTTTCAGTCCTAACTCTGCCTTTAATGCCCTGCAAATTAAACTTACTATGTAGAGTCAAACCCTTCTTTTAAACCATTATCCTGATGCAGTTCTGTGTTTAATTGGATGATTCTTTAATATGTTTTCCACTTTTCATGATCAAGGCAGGAGGGAGCCATTGAAATTTCAAACTTAATAGTCCAGTGCAGGCAAAACTGAGGTGCCAAAGCATGCTGCCAGAGTTTATTTCTGTTTTGACATGAATCCTGTCTGAAAGTAATGTATACAGGGGTAGTATCTTTACCACACTATGTAAAGGAATGGTTCTGCCTGTCTGCGTCCAGGACTGACCCTGCATGACTGGAAGCTGATGGAAAGTAGCTGTAGTATTACATTTATCACTTAATACCTTACACTCATGTCCAAGGTCAGTGGTTAGTCACCCTCTGCTGAGGTGAGCAATAAGGGATGAAACTTGCTCCCTTTCCTCCTTTTTTCCCCCAAACCCACCTCTTTTCCTATGTTTAGTAAACATTGCAATAAAACAGAAATAGCTGGTTTAAATTACTAACGTGGTCAGATTATATAATTTTGTCTCCCCTTTTCTGAAAGAGGAATTTTTCCTAATGAAAGAGGAATAGAATGTGTTTACTTACTTGTAGTGTGGGTGTTTAAAGCAATAATTATCATTTCTGCAGATCTCTTTCAATGTTACCTAAGCAGTGTTGCTAAATACATTTTGAAACCATAGTCATATGTGTGATTCACTATCTGGCCTGGCCAGTTTGGTAAGAAATTTATTCTCAGTTATTTACAGTCAAGGTTTTACATCGAGTGATACCAGCAAGGGAATCTTGAAAACTCAGATAACAAGCAGTAAATGATTGACATATTTCCACAATAGGCAAAATAAGAAGGACTGTTAAATAGATTAGAAGAGGCTTCCATTGGCTCACTGCAAGTGTCTTCTATGCATTGCCATGGCCTAGGTTAACTGAAACCAAGACAAGAAAAAGGACCATCTACATTGACAAAAGCATATTGTGTGCAAAGATCCTGAGAGGCTGAAATGCTGTATTTCTGACAGATTGAACTGCCACACTTGGAAATATCTGTTGAACCCTTCATAAATTCAAGACACTTCATTTGGAAATGAAAATAGCTAAATGTGCTCAGGTTTGTCCAAAATGCGTCTGTGTTGCCTCTACTGTTAAAAAGGAAGACTAAACCTGACATTTTAAGGTTGCCTACCAGCTGCTACTCCAGTTCTTCTTCAGAGAGTGAGCATGGCATGACACAGGCAGAATCCAGAAGAACATACAATTATGTACAATTAACATACATGCAGTGGTAGGACAAGGGGGGATGGCTTGCCTTAAAAATAGGCTGTTTGGGTTTCGGCTGCTTGATCTTTCTCTAACAGGTCACCAGGACTGAAACAAAAAGAAAAGATTGAAGCAACCTGTTTTGCTTGTTACTTACTGCACCAACACATACTGATCTGCTACACAAACTGCAACGAGACCCAAGGATGAGGAATTTGTCCTTGTCAGGGGTGAAAGGATCCTTCATGACATAGGCTTCTTCCAAAAGCCTGTAAAAGAACAATATCAGGCTTTTGAGGGTAGATTTCACAGTAGGGGACAGTTAAGAGGGGAAAATTGTGGAGGCTAAAAAGTTATCAGCACTTTGTACTTGATTTGCTCGGCCTGCTGTTGTACATGAGGCAATGGAGCAGCTCTGCAGCTCCTTTTCTCTTCAATGCTGCAGCTGCCTTAAGTCCTATACTGCACTTTCTGTCTTCCAAAATTAGGGCAATTGGTAAGCCTTTCAATATCACCTTACTAAATTTTTCTGAATGCTCTACCTTAAAGTAATTGTTTCTCTTCCATTTTTTATGGCAGGCCCTCCTCTGCATGGCCAACTTCAGTACTTTGTCAAGTTACCGTTTCAACTGCATGGCTTTTAATTAGAAGTTCTCTTCCAAAGCTGCATGCACGTGAGTATGAAATGCAAAGGTTTTACTGCACTTAGGTATGCCACTGCTGTAAAGTTAAGGTTCCCACCCCTTGAAAGCAGGAGCTACTGGCAGAGAGCCTTGCAATCACCTGCAGTGTGCTTACCTTATGTCACAGAATGTACTGGTTGCTTCAGGGTATTAAGGGAGCCCATTTATTAATAATTTGGCAACCTGCTTGGGAAACACTACCGGCTTTACTCTTCCTGGGAGCTCCAGGCAAAATACTACAGAAGTCAGTTGGGTGTCTGTCTGCACAGGGCACCCAGCAAGGCTGGTTTACTCTTAGGCTTAAGTCGGACTTGGATTCTGGTAGTAATATGGATAAAAGGTATCCTGTTAACTTGTACTACCTTCTCCTGCCTATGCACACACACACACAGGTATGTGTGTGCCCATGAGTGTATTCCTCTCTCTTTTTCCTGCCCACTCAAATAAGAAATGGTATGGCCAATGCCTTCCACTGTTAGGAAAGATCAGGCATCTTAACACAGCAGATCACTTTGTCAACCAGTCTCCTGGGACACGAAGACTGGATTATGTGTGCAAAGCTCCCCTTGCAAGATTCACAGCCCTAACATAGCCCTCATCATGCAGAGCCCTGGCCATTACACAAGCCCTCAAGTCCAGCACAGGTTTCCTGCAGCACTGCATTTGGGATGTGTGAGTAAGCCAGGAAGCAAGCCAAGAGAGATGGGGTATGAAGCTTTCTCATAAGCCTGTAGAGATGTGCTATGCTTCAGTATTATTCTTTTGCTTTTGGCATCTGAGCAATCCAAATAAAGCTGAGACGTTAATGCTGAGCTTGGATAACCTAAAGTTAAGATTCACATTCAGCTTCAACTCAGACTCTTTAGGAATGGACCTGATCAAAGGTGAGCCATTGCTCTGCTGAGCAGAGGAGGGAAAACCAGTAGCACTGTGGAATTTAAAATTATAAAAATACAACTGCCCAAGGAAAACAGCCCAAGCAGGTCATCAACAGCTATTTCCATTCTGTAATACACTGAGTAGTTTTATTGGGGTGAAATGCTGAGTACATGCCTGACTTCCAGTCCCAGTGAACTCCTGACCACGTTTACCTGACAGGTTCATTGACCAAGATGGCCTCCATCAAGCTACTCATGCATTTAAAGCAAAGTGCTTTATTTTATGATGACTTTAATGTCTGCAGACAAAATTATAAGTGCATAGTTTCTGGTAAAGCTATCCTTACTTAGCAGAGGTGGAAAAGGCTTCAGTCCCTGAAAATGTAAATACATATTATATATCCACACATTTTAACGTAATTCAATGTGACAAGGGATTGTCTAATTCATGCAAAAAAGCACTGCTGTTCAAAACTTCAGGTTGTGTCAAATGGCTCTTAAAAAGTGTTTTTAGCATATGTATTTCATTCATGCTGTGTGTGTATATATTGACCAGCTGAGGGAGGCTACTGTGAGGAAAGGGCTATTCCCATAAGTACTAGGCTAGCAGTCAACAGTATTATAACAAGAAAATACTGGGATTGGTAAATAGCAGAGTGGTCAGTGGGGCCACAAAATAGGTGAAATACAAATCTTTGCATGGCATGGAAGCAGGAGGGAAAGTTGATTTTTGCCTTTGCTATCAACGCTGACAATTTTTAACATTCCTTCCCTTTGGAAAAAGATCACTTTAAGTCTCATATTCAGGGGCAATATGGCACATTGTTGGGCTCATGCAGTGCACACTTTTGCACAGTACAAGGACTCTAACGCTCTCAGCAGAAATGAAGTCTGTGACCCCAGAGTGCACTTACACAATAGAGTGTGAGTTTGGCGGCTTTGGCCCATAGTACGTGTAGGGAGCTCTTAACCCACAGAGCTGACACTCGAACTCTCCTGTAGGCTGAACTTCTTTAGGAACATCCATCTTTAGGCTACCTACAAGAAACACAAAAAATCTTTTAGCTGGCAGCATGCCTGCAAGGAGATTAAAATGACCTGAGACATCTGGCTATGCAAACTAAAATTCAGTTAAAAACTGACTATTGGAAACCTCGATTAGTAAGTCTTTTCTCCCAAATCAAGCTGGTTTCTCACATCCTAGTTGAATTTTCAATTTCATTAGACAGGTCTATAAATTGCAGCCTGGGAGTATAAATGTAAGGTTCACCTATTAACTTAGAACTTGATCCATGAAAGAATTTAGGTGAAAAAGCACAAGGCTGTAGATCTGGAATGAGATCTACACTCCCCAAGTGTTTCTCAGCACACTCCCTGTCTGCTGCTGTGCAGAATCCCAATCCAGCTCTGCAATGTCTGCCTCCTCTCTCAAACTGCAAATTGGGAGCCATGAAAGTGTTTGGGACCATGCTCAAGAGGCAGATACCAAAAGGCAGGTGTTGCAATGATTTACTATGTGTTTTTCTTTGCTTCTGGTTCACCTTTGAATAGAGTTGTGGAAGCTTACCCCTGGCTCCCTGTTCTTATCTGGCTTCCCATGGAAATGAAGCTAATGTAATCACCCTGCACCTAGATAGAGTGTTGGCCCATTCAAGCCACACAGGACAGAAGAATGGGTACCTTTAAAAATGTTTAGGTCCTACAACTTTAATGAAAATAGGCAGATAAAGAAGGAGGGGGAAAGCAGGGGAAGACTGCTTTATCCTTACGACGGATGCCCACATATTTCTATAAAGCAGAGATTCTGTACATAGGAAAGCTATAGTCCATCCTTCTGGCAGACTGCAGGCCCACCCTGCAGAGGTTATCAGTCACGAGATAGAAAACATAGGAATTCGTGCTTCATCAGCTTTGGTGCTTACAAATTACCTGTTTAAAATCTTGGCCATCGATTTACATTTGGAAGCTTACCCTTCACGAATACCACTAATATCAGTTGAGAGTCACACCCTGAGCTTTTCCAAAAGTGGGGTGTGACAAGTAGGTTTCTAGGATTGATTTTGCTCTGTATACACAATCCTGTCACACACACCTAACCATGTGCATGCCCAAAAATTGCACCAATTGATTAATGAAGTGTGGTTGCTTGTTTGCAAACTGGGTATATTCCCTCACCTGTACCACTTTCTTGTACAGATAGGCTCACCTTGCAATCATCAAGAAAACTACAGCTTTTAGCAAAAAACCCTCACACTTTGCATGGTATATAGTGTTCTGCTGCCAACTCATCAGCTTTTCTAAGTGAAGCAGAGCTAGCATCAAGCTGGAGGTGAGCACTAGGAACTCAGATTTGGGCAGTATCTCAGCAGGTAGGTTGTGTGTGCTCACAGCTGAGCACATACACAGCCTGCCAAAGGACACTACCCTTTCCAGCTGATTCAATCCACTAAGGCAAATCCACTAAGGCCACGTCTCTATTTATGCTTTAGCTCAGCTCAGGGGTTTTCTTTAGGAACAAATTGACTGACTGTCCCTCCTTACCACACTGGGTTGGCATCGCTGAGCAATCTTAGAGCACATAAACCAGACAATTTCAGGCAAAATAAAACCAAAACATGTGCTCCAGAAGCACATGTAACACACACCCACCTGAATGCCCAGCTGGTGGCCATGCAGCCTACAGATTGGAACCAGAGGTAAACTAAAACATCCCAAAACATGGAGAGTGGGCAGCTTTGGTCCATAGTTTCAATCTTACTACATCACACTAGTTCTAACGCAGTAACAAATAAAAAAAAATTTTATTTTTTCTTCTTTCAATGTCTTTTTTTTCTCCTCTTGCTTTAAGGAACTAAATTGGCTTGCAGAGGAATCCAAAAGCTGCCAAGAGGAGCACAAGGTAGGAGACAAAATTGCACCAACAGCAGAAAGGCAGGGCTCAGCTGAGGCACCTGTACATCCCTCCTTTAGTGACAGTAAGCTGCTATTTCTGCCCACCCAGCAGGGTGAAACTGAATCCTTGGAGACATATGCTGCTAAGGTGAATTAGGGGCAAGGTGAAGCAGAGTTGAGACTACTTGTCATCTAATGTTCCAGATGAGCAGGAAGACTCTCAGAGGTGACAGAGGCTTCACAACGGACACCCAGTTCAGAAAGTCCTAGCCTGTTAAACCCTGAAATTTCATTTTGGAAATCATCTCCCTTACCCCATCATTCCCTTACCACCAGCCTTTCCACTGCCATTCCTAGTATTTCAGTAATGCAGAGAGTTCTTCAAATGTAACACAAATGGGGCTGGACACTGGTTTAGTAAGTGAATCTGCCTTGCGAAAACCTTAGGAAATGATATTTTTTCACAAGTGATATGACCCTTGGATATCATGTATTTTCCCCACCTCACTGGGATGCATGAGAGAATTTTTTTAAGTGCTTGCAGATTTTTCAGTTAGTTATGAGGCATGCATATGCTACCTATTCTTCCCTGTTTATTAAATGTAGAGTCTTCAAATTATACACAAATTCAGCTTAGAAGTCTACATTTTGGAATTACCAGGTAAGTCCCCCTGACATACCTAACTTTAACTTTTCTGTAGGTAGTCAGTAGCAATACCAAGACACCCTCCCATCTGAATTAGATTCAGATCAACACTTGTATGCAATTTTTTGTAATCAGTCTTTTTTAAAAAGGGGAAATCATGAACCCCACAAAAGTAGAGTATGGAAAGTCACTTGAATCAAGTAGAGTAGACTTAGTGGTGATCTTTTCTTTAAAATAATGCAAAATGCTAAGAACTACCACAACAACCACCAAAAAGTATTTATGGCAGTGAGGATCATAGACTTTGGAATGAATGTGTCCTGATCCCAAGTCAAAATAACAGCCCTGTGTTCAGAGCTGAAGTGCGTTAGATATAGAAACACCTGCTCTCTTATAGACTATTGGCACGTAGAACAGAATTTGTTCAATGACTACCACTGGGAAGGAATGATATCTATGTACAAACAGATTTTTGGCTATGCCAGTTGAAAAGCATATGATCCTGCCTGCAAGGCACAGATGAATTTATGATGCTTTCCAGTTTGTTCCCAGCTTACAAGTCAGTGCTATCAGCTGTACCAAGTTTTATTTCACTGGGAACATCATTTGTCCTGAGAGTATGTCTACATCAGCGCTTGGGAAAGTTACAGTCACTTAAGGTATGAGGTTAATGAACGTACAGATTTAAGAGCAAATGTTCCAACTCAGAAGTTTGCTGAAGCTATTATCCTTCTGAAGATATCTAACAACAAGTGTATTAAGCTTTCAGTTTCTGCATGTGTTTCACCTTTAGTCTAACTCACCCAGCGCACAAGTCACCAAGATGCACTCTTTCACAAAGTGTCACTTCCAAAACACTCATTTGCTTTATCTTAAAGAACAGTGTCTTTATGCCATAAACCCATAGTCAAGACAGACGATGGTTTATCACAATGGCAGTTCCTTGGTTTGGCCCTACACACGTCTTAGCAAGATGCCTGATGTGACAGTTGTCATGAGGGTTCTGTGTCCCCTCCAGACACATGAAGCATGAATGAGAATTCGTTTCTCTCCAGCAAACCAGAGCAGGATAAAGGATCTCTTGAGAAGAAAGTCTACGGCACTAATCCCTTCATAACAAGGACAGGCAAATTCGTGGCCACAAGTGATCCAAATCATCACCCAATGCTACCACTGGCTTCCTATATTTTCCTTGGAAATCACAGAAGCAGCGCCATGTCCCAGTAATGTGTCAAAAGTCTGACTGGCTGACACGTACTGAACAGGTCTTTTACAACATCTTGTTTAGAAATTAATTCTGTCCCATTTTTTCCACTTTAACTGGAAGCCACAAGGTACTTGAATACATTCTTACTTTAAGCACACACCCAGCTCTTCTGGAAAGAACAGTTACCCACATGTGCTGGGTTACAAAGGAATCACTAAACTAGCATGCTCAGCAGCAATCTGCCAAGTCAAGCCCAGAATCCTGCAGGATGTCTGTGAGGTTGGCCCACATGTCATGACCAAAGGTGAAGCACACAGATTTCAGTGCCATAGTAAGGAATTAATTGCAGAAAAAGAAAGGCATGGGTTAGATAGTGCTCTATTTCTCCATGCTGTCTGCAACTAATACCTGATATGGATGTGGGGTGCAGTTCCCTTGAGACTCCTTAAGACTTCAGAGCAGTTCTGCTTGGGGCACTCCGCTAAGAGGCCAGAAATAATAAATCACCCTTAAATTGTCAGAGTCAGTGGCAAAGTAGTGGCACAGATAAGTAATCTGATTTTCTTTGCTTCAAACCTCATCAGCACAAGTCTTTACAATGCATAGCTTAAGTCCCTCTCAGGGGGAGGAGACTCGTATTTCTGAGTCACTGATAAACTAGAGAAACTACACAGGAAACAAAGTGCCTGTAAACAGAACCAGACTTCAATTTGAAAGGGTGTCAGATAAAACCAACAATGACACCTTTAATACTCTCCAATCAAACTCGTTTCTTTTACCTGCCAACCTTTTCCTGCAGTATCCATTGTTGATGGCAATAACCTATTAAAATAATCACAGTTTGATTTTCTGGAGGAAGGAGTGCTCCCTAGTAGAAGGACAGGAGCCACTGAGTTCATAGTCTGGTACATGCCAGTGTTTGGTGTGATGGAAATTTAAATATACTTCAGCACCAGGAATGCACTTGCCTTTTTCAGAAAAACGATCTGTTGCCTAATTGCTCAGGTAGTAGATGAAACAGCAAAACCTTCTTACTTGCCAGTTAATCCCCAGGTGAACAACTCTCTCCCTCCAGTTCCCTCATGCTACTGCCTGAAGGCATGTTCAGGTCACCTGTTGGCTACCTCCCTGCTCTTCCTTTGAGGTGACTTACCTTGGTTTCCTTGTAAATTAGCCCAGGAATGTAATTTCACCAAGTGTGGCCATTGGGAACTTTTATCCTTATTCCCTCTCCCAAAGATCAAATTTAACCTTGACTTATTGCAGCAACTTTTCCTTTTAGGCCAGGGGACTGTGCTGGTACTGCTGTGCTGTCTCAGCTCAGAAGGAACAGAGATCCCTGCAGGCTGATCCCTGCAGGCTTCCCTCTAGCTATGGGTCACAGAGCAGGCCCCAAGCCTCCAAGGATTCCCTGTGGCAGCAGGATAAACACTCTAGGTGGTTGCAGATGTGAAAGGGAGCATGTTTTCTGAACAATTGTAGGGAATGACTGAAGAGGGTGTGCCAGAAGAAAAAGAGGAGTGACACAGACAAGCAGCTCTACAGGCTACAGCTCTAGGTAAGGCTTAAGAACACTGATGTTTGTTACAGATTTGAGTGTGTGCTGCCTTTCTGCATGTGGCTCGAAGTGTGCCTGGTGAGTAATAACTTCACTGTTAGGAAAGTTATGACAAATCAAATGACCAGGTGGGGAAGAAGGTGTAGTGCAAAGTTACTATGGCCTGCAGTGAAAAGGAGATTTTAAAGGAGGCAGTGGTTCAGGAGTTAGATGGGCAGTAAAATGCTGGTGAAAATGCTTTCACCAGGCATTGACAAAAGAAATTTAATGAAACATCTGCTGATCCTCTCTTGCTTTATCCTGGCCTGGAGCAAAGAACAAAGAAGCCAAACCATTGCAACCACAAAGGTAACTAATTCCTTTCTTAATCCTAATCTCAAGTGTGTGCTTATCTGTTGGGAGTTTTGGGGCTCTTTACAGCTTTTTTTTTTTTAATATTGATTTTTGTGCCAGCAAGAACAGATTTAGCAAACAGACCAGTGCAAAGGCAATGTACAGGCTAGAGAGCTTGGCATCTCAACAAGCCTGTGGAGCACGTCTCCATTCCAAGTCACTTAAACAGCAGAATCCAAGTATTTTCCTACAAGTATGATCAAACTAAAACCTTCTTTGGTCTTAACAACACCAGATTGCTGTATCTGGGTGGAATAAAACTTTCAGGGGACCCTTCATCAGGTTCTTGATGTAACCTTGTCATATTTGTAGAGATCACAGAGACTGAGGCAAGTCACAAAGTAAGAGAACATATCACATAATGCTCCCGTTATGACAGCTACTTTGCCTGTCATTTATGTGGGAAATTAAGGCATGAGGGAAACATTTTTGGCATGGGATCCAGAAGCATCAAGATCTTAAATTTTGTTTATATAAAACATACATTTCAATTGCAAGGATATAGTTATATATCCTTAGTAACTACTAGTACACAGACCCAACTCTGGCTCATAGGTGCCTAGAGTTGGAAAACAGTTTAAGAGATTATTTATCTATTATACCCAAGGTACAACTGGCTTTGTTCTGAAGGCATTTTGCAATGTTTATAGAGACTCCTACCAACCCATGTCTTAGAGAGCAAATCTGGATTAAGTGTGAAAGAAAGCCACAAGACTAACCTCTCTAAGCAGAGAGACCATTTCTAGCATCATTGAAATACAGAGGTATCTATTTGGGTTCTCAGAGCAGATTTAGAGGGAGGCTGTAGTACCCCATCTCATACATCTCGCAAACTTCCTACCTCCCCCTCATTTTTCAAGATGAGTACCTGATTGTTTCCATGGCTCTATGGTCCTGTAAACCCAAAGCTGTGACTCCTACACCACTTTGTTGAAAGTGCAACCTCATACTGGAATTGTCCACATATGGCAGGAAACAAGAGTTTCCTCTAAGTTCCCCAAACTCCTTAAAGCTCCTTTGCGGATCTCCAAGGGCTGCGTCCTCAAACAGCGCTGAGCTTCCCTGGAATCCTCTCACCAGCCCCCTTTGAGGTTCTATCCTGTAGCTCAAATATCAACTTGCAAAGCTCCTCAGAAAAAGCAATCTGTGGCCGCTACACCCAATTAAACAAGCAATATACTTTATGTCAAACCCCTCACTAAGAAAGAAAAAAATACATCATATTCCAGCTTGGCCTCTGTCCCTGGAACCCTGAGTGTGTGCTCCGTTAAGCAGTGCCCTGGTCAGCACGTGGTTCGCCCCCTCCCGGCACCGTTTTCCCCACCCGGTTCCCGGGTCTCCCTCCAGCCGCTAGTTTCCCACCCCTGATTCCACACACCACCCTCCCACGACAGTTCCCAGTTCCTTCCCTGGCTCCCCCTCCCTCCTCAGTTTCCTTTCCCTCCGGCTCCAGTTCCCCGGTTCCCTCCTCGGCTCCCGCTTTCAGTTCCTCGCTGGCTCCCTTCCCGGTTCCCGTTTCCGGTTCCCGCAGCTCCCACTCCCCCCGCCGTTCCCGGTTCCTGTTCCCGGTGTTCCCCCGGCTCCGGTTATCCCCTGGTTCCCCTTCCCCTGTTCCCAGTTACTCCCTGGCTCCCTCCCGTTCCCGTTCCCGGTCTCCCCCGGCACGTGCCGGCGCGCACCAAGTCCGTTCCGGGTTCGCGCGTGGCCGCTGCGGCTCCGGGCGAGAGGCAGAGGGCGCTGGGGGGCACCGTGCGGGGGCGGAACTGTGTGCAGGGAGGTTGTGGGTGGCAGAGGGCGCTGTGCGCCCGTTCCTCGGTCCCGGCTTTCCCGTGGGAACACACCGGCACTGTCGGGTCCCGGAATATTTGCTCGGCCAAAGGACAGAGTCCTGCTTAATAAGAAAATGGGGGCGAGGGAAGATTTTTTTAAAGAAACTTCTACTCAGGGCCTGGCTGTAGTTGTTAATAGCACTGATAAAATGACAGGATGACTGATGAAAACTTGCATGAAAAGAAATGCCTTTATTTTAATTTTTGCCCTTTTCAGCATGTTTCCAGGGGCTGTACCAGGCTGCTGCCTGGTACCTCTGATTTCAGCGGGTTTAACGTGCACGTGTCTTCTCACCAGCACTCTTAGTTCCTTCAGCTGCGTTTATCTCTACGTGCTTTTCCTGGGTAACCCAGGTGATATCTTCACAAAATTTTGGGCGCATTGTACTCAGAGCCGAGAAAAGCACCGATTTCAGAATCGAATGGAGAAACACGTTCTGAAGGAAGGAGGTTCCAGATGCAATTAGCCACTCCCGTGAAGTCTGGTAGCCATAGGACAAACCGTATAATACAATGAAAAACGAGGACAGCGTAGTTATAGCCACAACCAGTGCCCACGAGACAGGCACACACCACCACCAAAGAACAGGCTCTGTGGCCGGGCACTTACGAAGTTCCCTGATGGTACTGCTTAATGATTTTCTTCGCTTCAGAAAAATGCTCCCTTCTGCATAACTGGTAGTAAAACTGGACTTTGACATCCTCCGGGAGGATGAAGCCCCTGGAGGGGATTTTGCATCAATCATCTGCTCCTCTGTTTCAATGATATTTGCAACTTTTTCAGGTAGTACACAATTATTCCAGGACTCAGGCTTGGCCTCTGGGTACATCTTAGTCACTACAGGAGTAGGCTCCTTCTGGGAATACTTAAATAAGGCAATTATTAGCATTTCCACGGGGATGGTAAGCAAAGCACATTCAATTCCTACTGCTATTGATCTCAAATACCTCAGGTATATTGGAGATTCTTCATTCTTATCAGTGTTAAAGAACATAATGTTAACAAGCAAGTTGAATAATATTACTGCTAAACATGTAGACAACCTTTGGAACCTGGTGAAAGCGCCAGTGACAGTGGGGGCAAAAATTGAGAACCACAGATGGTACTCTGTCATCCTCTTGTTAAAATTAATAAGAAAATAGTCGATTCTGGGTAGAGGTGTCCTGGGGTCTGTGACAGAAAATTTCCACTCTTCTGAGGGATTGTCCTTGGCACAAGAAAGCCATTTTCTGCACATAAAGGACCAGGCCTTCCTGTTGGACGTGTTCTCAATTTCAGCTCTGCTTAAGAACCAGCTTGGAGATGAGCCATCGTTATTAAGCCTTATCTTGAAGGAATAAATTTCTCCCAAGTCTTTCTTAGTGGTTATCAGAAAGCAATCAGTGCTTCCCCGCTGGAAAGCTGGAGAAGGGTGGTGCCATAAACAACGGAATTTACTCTTGCCATTCTGGCCAATGAGCTGCAGAGCAACATCTGCTTTGGTTCCAGCTTTCCAGCGACTGCCTGTGTACAAAGTGACCAAAAAGCTCCCTTCATCAGAGGGGCTATTGTCTGGCAGAACCATAATGTATTTGATCTCCTTCTCAGCTCTGTCTTTTATTATGGCCCAGATGCACAAAAGAAAGTAGACAGCAAAAATAGAGGCCACTGTTATGAGGGTCAGCGGGTTTCTAGGTATGTTTGCTATCAGGTTTCTTCCTAGATCTACTGTGTTGGGAAGAACTACTACTTTGGCTGCCAGGAACTTGATGTTGGTTGCAGTTTGGGCTGGCGCACTCCTGCCCTTCCGTGCCATGTCACAGACACAGTGTACCTTCTGCCAGTCAGTCTTGGAGCCAACCTTGCATGTGTCTCTGCTCCATGGACTTCCAACCCCATCCAGAAATAGGCACTGGTCATTAAAAACGTATATGCCCACCAGTCTCCGGGTTGGGTACCTTACAACATAGCGTGTCTCCAAGACAATGGAGATGTTCTGCTTGTCTGTGCCATTTGCCTGAGCTATGGCTGTCAGCAGCGACTTTGGGAGACAGATAATATAGGGACCCTTAATGCTACACTCAGGACTGGTTGTCTCATTTCCACTTGTAACTGTTGACATGTTGTGAAAAGCAGTAAACAAGGCTGTGGGCTGAGCATGAGTGACATTGGCACCTGTAAATATTTTCACCTTGAAAGTAGCTTTTAGTTTTGTTGTAATCTGGAAATATATGCTCGTGGTATTCCTGCTGACCTCAAAACGAAATCCTCCAGTTGTGTAAGATTGTGTTGTATCAGGTCCCATTATTAACTGAAAAGTTGTAGATCCATTACCTTTCCTGGCAACAAAAATGTCTGCTCTTTCAGGCACGATCGCAACTAGATCCCCATTAGCCTTAGTCTCTGCCATTTTAAACCCCAAGACCATTGTTCTGATTTGTGCTGTATAACCTAACCAAGGGAAGGGGGTCTCATCAAACTCAAAAAGGGCAGTGGAAAACACAGTATCCTGGGGAAATCCTGAAACATTTCCTTTTTTCAGTGTTGGATAAAAGCAATTCCTGCAGGTGTCACTGGTAGGGAAAGCATTTGCAGTGTTCCAGGCTTCGCCTTTCTTCAGAGTGATATTCCAGTGCTTTGTTTCCATTAGAGTTTCTATTTCTCCAGGGACTTTGCCCCGGAAAGCTACCTCTGTTACACCTTCCATGATGGACAAGACTTGTTCAATTCCATCTGCACTGACATTCTTGAGATCCGTAAGATCAGACCTCAGGATGTTGGACAAGCATCTCAGTATTCCACTGGTCTGAATTTCTGCTTCCTCAGACCAATGGATCTGATTTCTCTGTATCTTCAGAATTCCTGTTACTTCTGTCAGTTTCCTAACGGCGAGGCCTTGTGACCTAATGTTCATTTCATCAACTTCCTCTGTGACTTCAGAAAGAACAGCCACTACTTGGTTGACTCCCATAATGCTCTTAACTGAAATATTCAGGGCTGTTTTAACCAGGGTTTCCCGAAACTTAGCCTGAGGGAACTGGGGACTTGATACAGTTTTAACATAGTTTAAGATTGAAGCTGCCAGATAAGCCAAATAACCAGCTCTAAGATCATCCCCAGTCTTTGGACCAGCTGTGCTTAAACTGCTTGCTGAGGCCAGCAGTTCCCGAAACACAGCAGGGAGTAATTGAGTGTTTGCTGGGTTCCGGACGTGGGCATGCAAAGTCACTTGGGTAAACGCCCCAAGGGAATCACGGACTTGAACATAAAGTGTCAAGCTGTTCCTGTGAGAGGATACTCCAGGTGGGAGAAAAGATGGAGGAGTTTTAGGCTCAGAACCAAAGTACAGAATTGTGCCAAACGTGTTTTCCACCACAGAAGTTACTTTGGTAGTTTCGGGTACATTGGAAGCTACTATCACTTTATATGTCAGAGGTAAATTGCTGTCAGAAAATCCTTTGCATTTAACCACAAATTTTGTCAGAAAGGCTATACCCCGACGTGGATTTACGTTACACCTGCCGGCCCGAGGAGGAGTGTTTACCCTGAATGTTTTACTGTAGATTGACGTCCTACCATCCCAGGTACTTACTTTTAAGTGAAGTGTGTAGGATGGATATGCAGACCTTGTGAAAGTCAGAGCATGTATAGACAGGTAAGCCCCAGACCTCCCCGTTGATGTTTTGGAAGACCAATCAAAACTAATTTCTGTAGAGCTGCCTGACAAAAGGGACCAGTAGTAGACCGGCTTGTTGATTGGTTTACAGTTTAAGCATTTACCAGCCAAGGCAAATCTCTCAGTTGGAATTAAAGTGCCACCACAGTTTTCAAGGCATGTCACGTCCAGATAGAGAGGGGGGCCGGCCTCCACCTCTACAACTTGATCAGCATAGCTTAACCTTCTGCCCTTATGAATCACTAAGCGAAAGTAGTATATGCTTCTTCCTGGGAGGGATTCTGATGGAATTCTTTGAATGGGACCTGAGGGTGTTAACCAGCGCAAATCCTTCTGGGATGGATGGCATTTGTTTCCTGGCTTGAACTTCATGGTTTGATAATCTGTCCAATCTCTAGTGCAGTACCAAGTAAATGAGATTGATCCTTCCTGTGAATCAGGATCAGAGGATGCAGAGCCATCAAGAGTCCAGCTTTCAGAAAAACCCACCATGCGGAAATCACCTCCTGAAATATTTGCGATTAGATCAGCTCTCTCGATCTGAACATAAATTCTGTCTGAGCCCCTGAGGACTTGTGTGGTCCTAATCGGGATTACCTCAACAGTGAAATAAAACAGATACAATCCGTAATCTAAACTATTACTGGGAATAGTTAAATGTATCATTTCTATGCCAAAAAAGGCAGAAGAGTTAATTGGTTTTGACCAGTCCGGTGCAGTTTTTGTGTCCTTAACAGGATAGATGCGCCAAAATGGCTTCACATTTATACCAGTCTGGCATTCTACGAGCAATCTGACAAAGAGATAAAAAGATTCTGCCCTTTTCCGGTACAGGATTATTGCTTTGCGATCAGTTCTCTGAATCCACACCAAGGCTATCTTACACTCTTTTTGCTGGCAAACCACTGGTGCTTCTATGGTTTTTTCAGTATAGTTGTTGACTCTGACTCTTAGAAGAGCTGGTGTAGGTACACTGCCAGTACAGTTCACCTTTGCCACAAAGCCCGTGTAATTCTCTGCATCAAAGGGTAAAGCAGAGCGACGGACAAAACGTGTGGCGTTTTTTACATGATCACTGTATGTGTACGTGCTGTTCTGGACAATGTGGTCTTTTTGTGTTCCCAAGAGCTGCAGATGGAAAGTCCACTCACACTGCAGCATTGGATGTTGGGTGGGGATAAACCACACTAAATAAGTAAAGTTCTGCAGAAAAGAAGGACGGCTACTGAAAACATGTACTTCAAGGTCTCTTTCTGCCAGAGACCTAAACAAAGCCCTCTGCTGATTCATATAAAGATACATGTTGAACTTATACCACTGGAAGGCCACAAACTCTATGGTGAGTAAGTAGGAGAGCTCTTTGTGTTGGTAGAAGACAATACGTGTGTTAGGGTGATCTGTGAAAATAGGGCTGTTGTTTTCCTCATATGTGTAAAATGTTCCCTGGCTGTACCTGAAAATGTATATGCTGCTGTTGGTCTTCCTCGGGTGAAGATTGATGTGGGTGGGAGTTTGTCTGTTTGTGGTTAGGATCAGGGTACCATTGAGTAGGTGCAGTTCTCCTGACAGTTCTTCGAACCTCCTTCCATCAACATGAAAGTAAACACTGGCCACAACTATCTCGCTCTGGCTTTGAGGTGTGGATATGGCACAGAAGTTGCTCTGTGTCATAAAGGAACTGTAGGAGCAGAGCCAACCTCCTATAGCCTGTCTGTCCACCAGTCTGTAGGCAAGTGTGCTCAGGGTAAGGGGCTGAAGCCTCCAGGACAAGCTGAGGGGCTGCTGAGAAACACTAAGGAGCTTGGAGCCAACGCTGAGGACATGCAGCAAGTCGGGCTCCACCTTGAGAGAGAGGCTGAGGCTTATCTGAGGCATCTGCTTGATAGTGACCGAAGCAACATGGATCCCATGGTTTCCGTAGTGCACAGTCAAGCGGTAGCTGTGGTAGCTGGCACAGGTCTGTTGCAGCTCAGCTGTTGGGTAGACAGCAGGTGGCAGTGGGTCTTGGTACTCACTGCTGGGAAGGAGAAGGGTCGAAGGGCTGCCTCCCCTGCTGCTGAAGTGGTACTGCCAGCGGGCACTCTTGAGGCGTGCACACCAGCCCAGCTCCACTGGCTGCCACACGTGGATCAGACGTGTCTGCGGCCAAAGCACGAACAGCCGCACGTCCTGCACGGAGATCTCGATGCTCACGTTCTGATGAAAGCACACGGGTGCAGCGCAGGAAGCAGAGGAGCACTGCACCGTAAGGAGACTGGAGGCCCCGGGCGGAGGAGCGTGTCCTGCCTGCAGCACCACCTGGCCTGACCAGCGCGATGTGTTCCTCACACAGGCCGAGTTCAGGTACCAGAAGCAGCGAGGTGGGGGTGGCGGCTGCCCCTCTGTCCACTCTATCTCCGGCCTTGCTCCCGGGACGGGCCCGTAACGCAGGGTCACGGTGCTGTTCCACAGGCACGAGACCCTGTGCTCGTTGTCCTGCCGCTGAGAGACTCGGCCTTGAGGGCCCGGGCAGCTCACCCGCAGGGGGGATGGCTGGAGACGGGGAGGGGACGCCCCCGAGCTCTGGGGGCAGCAGACGAGCAGCTGCAGGAGCAGCAGGAGGTGAGAGGCCATCGCGGTGAGAGGGCACGGGGCGAGGGGACCGCGGCCTCACGGGCGCTGCCCAACAGTCGGGCTAGTGGCCCGAGAGGACGGGGCGTCCTCTGGGGCGCAGCCGGTGAGAACAGTATTTAAGGTCGGACACGGCGGGCCGGAGAAGGGTCCGGAACAAGGAACGAGGAATTTGGGCCAGTGATGGCCACGAGCTCCCTCAGCGGCGCCGTGAGAGCTCCGTTCGCGCCAACCGTCCGCACTCGCCGCCCGCGCGAGTGCTCCGCGCGCGCCCCCGCCCTCGCCAGGCCCCGCCCGCGCGCGGGGCAGCGGGGCGGGGTAGGGCCCATGACCATGGCGGCGTTGAGGGACTGCAAGGTGAGGGTAGCTCTGCAGGGCGAGGGACCGCGGGGTGAAGGCAGCTCTGAGGGGGAAGGACTGCAAGGTTGAGGGCAGCGGTGGGGTGGGAGGGACTGCGGGGTGAGGGACTGCGGGGTGAGGGACTGCGGGGTGAGGGACTGCGGGGTGAGGGACTGCAGGGTGAGGGCAGCGGTGGGGTGGGAGGGACTGCGGAGTGAGGGACTGCGGAGTGAGGGACTGCGGAGTGAGGGACTGCGGAGTGAGGGACTGCGGAGTGAGGGACTGCGGAGTGAGGGACTGCGGAGTGAGGGACTGCGGAGTGAGGGACTGCGGAGTGAGGGACTGCGGAGTGAGGGACTGCGGGGTGAGGGACTGCGGAGTGAGGGACTGCGGGGTGAGGGACTGCAGGGTGAGGGCAGCAGGGTGCCGGGGTGCTGCAGGACTGAGGAGCTGCGGGGTGAGGGCAGCGCTGGGGGACTGAGGGGCTGGGGGGTGAAGGCAGCGCTGAGGGGCAGCGCTGCGGACGCTGAGCCGTCCCAGCCACCGTCCCTTTCGCTGGGTGCAGCCGTGTCTGAACGTCTCTAAGTATTTTTTATATAAGTTTTATTATAGTTTTATTATTTTAATTTTATAAGTTTACAGCGCAGGAGTCCCACGGCAACCCACCTGCCCTTTCCGTGGGCAGCAGAAGTGGGTCAGACCTTTGCTTAACTTTTAACCAGTTTCGAGTCCGAGGGTCCGATATCGACCTGCACGTGCTGGTTACTGATTGGTCGTTTGCACGCTTTCTTCCGGATGAACTGTTATTGTTGTGTTTTGGTTAATTAGGCAGGGACGGGTAAAATAAGCCTTGATTGTTGTGTGAGACTGTGATGGGCACGTGATCGCCAGAGCCCTGGGGATCTGCCCCGCAAGGAATATAGGAGGTGCCAATGCAAAGAGCACAGTTCTCAGAGCCCGCTGTGATTCTAGCAGGGAAAAACATACAAATAAACTGTCACTAGATCTCGTGACAGAAGTCTAATCTTGGAGCGGGGAAAGCACAAGGCTTTGGTCTCGCCAAGAAGCCGTGAGAAGCTCTCTCATCCAAGAGGCATCATCAAGAAGGGTCTCTTCTGGAGTTAGAGGGGAGGGTTGTGGGAGATCAGTGTGACAGAAGTCAAAGGCAGCCTCTGTGGGAAGGAGAGCTGCTTTACAGACTCTTGAGGCTGATTTTACCTACCCACACTTCCCTCTGGATTTCTTCGGTCACAGTCTGATACCTGAGTACAGATAAGCCCCAGGACATGAGTGTCCCAAGTAGTCTGGACAGGACCCATTGTGTATGACCCAGAGGACAGGGGATGCTGGCTCTTCTGTAGTCGCAATAACTGGTTCTTGGTTGACAGTGACAGATTAGGTTTGTAGCACATCTTTTATGTCTCTTAGGAGCCAGCAGTTACTGTGGGGTGGTTCTTCCCTGCAGCCCTTTGTCCTGGTGTGCTAACAGGGAGAGGAGTGGCGTCCCTTGTGACGCAACCTTGCTACCATCGTTCTGTTGCCAGAGTGGGAGTCTTCCACAGAGGAATGAGATGTATTGGGTGTAGCCATAGCAGGACAGAGGCTCTCTAGAGCAGTTGGAAATAGCACGTACCTCAGCTAGATCAGCAATGTACTTAGGGATGGACGCAGGCCCACTTTGCACTAACCCTTGCTCTGCTGGTTTGTTCTGGTGCCCACAGACATTTCCATTCTTGTGAACGAGCATTAACAAATCTTCTCGGAACAGGACACCAATTTCTGCTGGACAGGGACTTCAAGCTGTGTAAAACAAGCAGTGGCACACAGCCTGCTCCAAATGGAGCTTGTTTTTGATGACTGGTGCTGAGGGTGGCTCCTGGCCTAATTTGCAGAGCACCATGGAAGGTAGCCTGTAAGTAGCAAGCCTAACCTTGCTACCTGCTCGACTTTTCTCTTTAGTCCTTTTCTGGATATAGTGTGAATTGTAAAGAAAATATGTAATTTTATATTCAGGTCTACTCTTTCAGGCTTGTAATTCTCTAGCTGCTGGAATGTGAGCCTTTAATACAATCACAGTGGGAAAGCTTTAAGGGTATATTAACAAAGATGTCCTTACCAGCTTACTTACAGTTTATGACAGTTGGGTCTTTATAGCCAGGAAATATGTTAAAGCGTAAAATGAGACCAGCTGAATTCTTGCAGCATCAGGAATAACTAAGGCCCCATTAGGAGAAGTCTGAATTGGCTTGCCCCAGGTCTGTGTCTGTCCTCTACATTATGTGTACTGGAGTAAAAGTAAAGCCGGAAGATGCTGTGCCTCAGTAATGTTAGCTTATTAGAAACTATGGCAACCCAATTCTGTTTAGCCTTTTTTCTCTATCTGGTGCCCACGTTCTTACTTTTGTAAGGCTTGCATACAGATCTGTGGTCCAGATTTTCTGCTAGTTACTTCAGTGACTTGATGCATTTGCTCTGCCAGGCTGTTTGGCCTGCAAGTTACTTAAGGTATTGATTTCCATTGTAAAAGAACAGGGTTTTATTTTACCTCTACTTCTTTTATTTATCTCTACTTCTCACGAGATGTACCTGCAGCAGAGGGACTGACCAACAGCTGTAATGAAGTCAGAATGGCTCTCTCATGAGATGTGTAACCCATCAAGATCATCTATTACACTTCATAATTGTTTGCTTCTTTAGTCTCACTACTAGCTCCAACTAATTGAGTCTTGTAACTGCAACAGACCAAAAGGTTTGCGTCTGCTCACACTGTCCTTCCAACTTTTCTCTTTGAAACAGCATAGTTGATGAAAACATCAAAACACCCATCAATCTGAACATCTGTTGGTGTAGCCTGGAACATGAGGTTGTAAAATGAACGGGTTTGTGTTTGTTTGTTGTGCAGGCCTGGCAGGACGCTGGACTTGTCCTGTCCACGACGAGCAATGAGGCCTGTAAGCTCTTTGATGCTGTGCTGACACAGGTATGGTGGAAAGGTGTGAGAAAATGTGATGCGAAGGGACTTGAGCATGAAACAGCCTTTGCTGTAGCTGACATTTAAATTTCTTGTCCGCTGGGAGAGCCTCAAAATCAGGCCACCACAGGAGTCCAGCTTTTAGATGGCAGCAGGAAACCCTCATAGCAGAGGGCTGTGCCACATGCTGTGGTGAAAGCCTCAGCCAACATGCTCATGCCACTTGACACTACCAAATCAGCCAGTCGACACATAGAAAGCACATAGAAATCCAGGATTCTATGGATTCCAGAAATCCATAAAGCACATAGAAATCCAGGATTCACTGTTTCTGCTGGTGGCCGGACTGTCTTAAACCCCCCTGGTTTTTCTGTTTTCCTACTGCACTAAACCTGCTGAATGCAATGTTTGTCTTTTAGTCATTTGCCTTGCTTATTTTTGAATTTTAAATGTCTGGGAGGATGAAAAGAAGCCCAGTGTCATAGAGGATTTCTCAACCCTCTCTTGGTCTGTTTCTCTTACAGTATGCAACCTGGACCAATAATGAGAGCCTTGGAGGTATTGAGGGATGCCTCGCCAAGTTAAAGGCAGCGGATCCAAATTTTAGTGAGTATAACCTTTAATTCTGAGCATAAGAAGTGCTAGGTAATACCTGGTGTCCTGGTAGTTAACTGACTTTGTTAGTGCAAGGGCAAGGTGATGGCTTATAGAATTCTGTAATGTGAAACTTCCTCAGAATCTGGAGCAGGCAGGATAGTTTTCGAGGTTGGGTTTTGTTTTTTTTTTTTTCATGAAAAGCCTCTAAGAACTTTAGGCTTGAGAGACTTTCTGCATTTCTGTGACCCCAAGTCAGTCTTGCTTAAAATTCTCAGCTCCTCTTGTGTAATGTGGAGATGAAGGTGATGCTGTACAGCTCAACTTCTGCTGTACTGTTTTCTGTAGCAATGGGACATGTCATTGCTAATGGTTTGGAGCTGGTTGGCACTGGAAGCTCCGTGCGACTTGACAAAGAGCTGGACTGTGCAGTGAGAACAATGGTGGCACTTTCCAAGTCGCAGCCACTGACTGAGCGGGAGAAGCTTCATGTGTCAGCGTTGGACATGTTTGCCAGGGGGTGAGTCCACTGTCAACCTGTGTACGGGGCTGACGGATTTTCACTACCACAGGCGGAAACAGTGGTTGGAAGTGGTGATGTGTGATACTGGCTGATATCTAGCAAAGGATCGGAGTGAGATGCCACTGGTGGTTCCTGCATTTCTCTCTTGGCTCTAAGTGCCATGTCTAGTTAGTGAGCAACACTGTAGGAGTTGTGCTCGATTGCTACCATTTCCTAGCAGTAAGCACTCCATGTTTTAAACCTGTCATAGATCCATTGGTGGAATATGTGGTTTAGAACTAGGAAACAATGTATTTGGCTACAGTAGGGTCCAGACTCAGGTGCACAGGAGCGAAGTTACAAACAGACTTTTCTTCTCTCTGTTATCTCCCTATGCCAAAACCTATTTCCTCGGCAAAATAGGGAGATACCACAGTAGCACAAGTGGTGTTGAAGCTCACTGTTTCATTCCATATGGTATGCACTGCAGAAAGTGTGGGCTGATTCGCTTTCATTATTTGTTTGCTAAACAAATGGATGAGCATGGATTTATCTCACATACTTCTCAGCAGAGGTAAAGAGGAAGCTCTTGAAGCCCTGTCACTATGGGTGAACTAGAGGAGAAGGAAGCTGTCTTTGCACATGTGAAGTAAGATTAATTATGGTAGATGTCTGTCAAAACTTTTGGGCCCTGTAGGAAAATCTTCAGGTTTATGATTTAAGCTTCTTTGATTTTCCTTGTGTGTTACAGTGACTTGGTGTAACTCAAGGACATTTCTTTCAAAAGATTTCTCACAAAGTGTGAAGATAATGCCATTATTACTTTAAAAAAGACTAAAAATTCCTTCAAGGAAAAAACAAGTAATTTGGTGTTGAATTTTCTGTTTTTCAGCATAGTGTGAGCTCAGAACTAACAGTAACAGCAGGTATGTGTACCTTCTTTCAGCAATGGAAATAATTTTTTATTTCTAGCCAGCTTCCAGAAGCTTGTGATCTGTGGGAACAGATTCTGCAGAGCCACCCAACTGACCTGCTAGCCCTCAAATTTTCCCACGATACTTATTTCTACCTGGGATATCAGGTGCAGATGCGAGATTCTGTTGCTCGAGTTTATCCTTTCTGGACACCTGATGTTCCACTGAGCAGGTGGGTCATGCTTCATTTTGAAAATTGCTCTTCACCTGGTGTGCATATACTTTGTGGTTTTTAAGTTCAGACACACCTAAATAATCAACAGGATTCTGTTGGAAACCAGCAGGATTTGTTGGAATCAGACATATAGACAAAAATCAAGGGGTTAGAAGAGAATTAAACTCGACAGCAGACAGAATGTGTCTCCAGCGTCCCTCTGACACTGTTGTTGAGGGATTTTTTCTTAAGGGAGCTTGTGTCTCACTGCTGTCAAATACAGCACATGGTGTGTAATGCGCAGGATAAAACCGTGTCCTCGCCCAGGGCAGTGGCAAAACTTCTTCAGGCTTCTGTGGATCCATTTTTTTACCCGGAGCTCACCTTGTGAATAATAGAGCACATCAGTGGAAAGGAGTTGTAACTTAGACTACCAAAGTGTAGTTCTGAAACAAAATTCTGATGTGCATCTTGTTACTGTTTCCCATGCTGGTGTCTCTGGGGCATTCATTTCCTCTGAGAACTAGGTTAGCAGTTCTGTATCCTGCAAGCTTGAACTCTCATTGTAACTTTGCACTGTAAGGATTGTTTTGAGTCAAATGCTATTTCTAGTATGTCTTTTCAGTCCTGGATTGAATCTAGTTATAAATACATGATGTGCTGGTTTTCCCCTTTTGTTAGCTACGTGAAAGGCTACTACTCTTTTGGACTTGTGGAAACAAACTTGTTTGACCGTGCTGAGGAGGTTGCCCATGAGGTAAACTGCCTGCTCTTTGTGCTAAAAGGTTTTAGAATTCCCAAACACAATCCCTCTCTCTGGGTGGTGGTTTGTGCCAATGCCTTGAACTGACTCTCTGTCATCCCAGTTGTTAGTTGAAGTAACAAGGAGATAAAGCTCAACATGGAAATGCTCACAGAGCTTCATGAGACTTGCTGGTAACTGTTCTCACATTTCTGCCGCACCACAACAGTTTCACCTGGAGTGTGTTTCCCTCACTTGCTTATGAACATACCATGTCAGATGGGGTCAGAACACCCCTATGAAATCCATGTATCAGCCCATCTGGCATTTCCCCCATGTAAGATTGGCTGTTTGCTCCTATTAAAGAATGCTGGATTGCCTTGATGTAGTCTGCTCTTGACAATCCACCCTGTTTGGGCTCCCCCTCCCTTTTTGTCCCAGGTACTTGTTCCTGAGTTATTGAACAATTATCTGTACAATGGTCCTGGGCATCACTATTAGTCAACCTGTTTCCTTTTTATGAAGATAGTAATTACACTTGACTCTCTCCAGTCCACGGGATTATCTCTGTCCTCCAGAAGTCTCAGACACAATTAATCTCTAATGGGTGTTTTTGACAAACTTTCATTAAATTGCTGGAAGTGACAACTAACACTTAACATTTACTAGGTTTATGACTAACCTTGCAAAATGCCTAGAGCCTAGTGGGAGTTGTTGGAGCAAGGAGGAAGAATTGGCTGAATAAGACTTCCATTCTGTGGTTAGTTGAAGTGGTACTTCAACTTCAAGGGATGTACTTGACATGCAGCTAGTAAAAACTAGTCTCTTGTTTGTATATAAGGGGGGATAAATTTTGGTATTTGCAAGTTTGTAAGGTTGATCATGTTCTCCTGTTTTTCACTCATAGGCTTTGGCTATAAATCAGACAGATGCGTGGTCTGTCCATACTATAGCTCATGTAAATGAAATGAAAGCAGATGTGAAGAAAGGCTTAGAATTTATGAAGGAAACAGAAACCAACTGGAAGGTAAACATTCTTGTGGCGTTTCTGAAAAAGCTCCTTCTAGGTCTTTTACTCCTGTAGTCAAGTTCTTGAGTCCTCTGCATGCAATTCCTTCCTATCTGCAAATGTGTTACAAGCAATGCAGAGTTTGCATATTAGAAGAAATCCTCACTTGAGGTGTTATTATCCAGGCAGCTTTTTAAGCAAGGGGCAGGAAAAAATGGCATGTTATGAAGAACACATACTGTGGACCACTGTAAGTCATCATTAGTATGGCAAACATGTCAGTAGGCCAGGATTCACACCAAGTCTGTCTGTCCTTTGTCTTCCTTTAGCTAGGAATAGCCTAAAAAGTACTGCTTTTTTAGTAAGTGTGGGGTTTGTACATTCACATGTTGTTTCTTTTTCCTGGTGGATCTGTGCAGATATTTTTACATCTCATAAAGACATGACCATGGTAGACAGGTGAAACATCAGATGTGAAGCTTGTGATTTATGGTGTGGTTATACAAGTAAAGGGATCACTGATACTTTCACAAGCTTTTTGCTTAGACTGAGATGAGCCCCGAGATTCAGTTGAGGGACCTGACTAAATCTCCTCACGAGACCTAAGATAAGGTGGGAAATGACACAGGCAAATGTTTCAGAAAACTCCTAAAATACTTGTTTACTTTTGGATGGGGAAGGGTTTTTAGAGATCAACTGTAAAGAGAAATTGTGCTTTTGTCTCTTTTCTAGTGTACTAATTACTTTCTTGTGTACCAGTTACCTTATATATCCAACGTGTTCGATACCATCTTTCAGTGTATTGAAGAGGTTAACTAGCCTGTCATACAGTCCTTTGTTGTAAATGAAGCTTAATTTTTGTGTTTGGACAGCATGTGTTTTCCCAGTGGTTAAGTTTGTTATATTCAGAGCAGAAGGCTGTGAGGTTTGAATTTGTTAGAACCCACGAGAGTCTATCTTAGAGTCATCTGAGCTGACCATTCCACATCACCCAGAGAGCAGGGCTGGATAATGAGACTAGAAAGACTTGGGTTTTTTCAAGTTAAGCATTGCAAGTGCAGGCAGAAAACCCTTTCTTGAAGTTCACATCTATCATTTCCAAGAAGCATTTTGTCCTCTAGTATGTTAGTTTTAATGAAACAGTGATGCAGGGGATTGACAGTTTGGTTGATACCTTAAAAACCCCAGTGACTTTTGGATTGATTTTTGAACTCTTGCTGCTTCAAATAGTTGCACATCTCTGTGACTTATACTCTTTATCCAAATAAAACCACATGCAAGATCAGTAAGTAGAACTGGCTAATATACTTTCATGCCTGATGCAGTGCAATTAAGATTTGTAACAGGTGGCACTGTCATGTCATACTGTGCATCATTGCTTCTGTTGTGCAGCCTTTCTCATCTTAAGCATTACGGACACCAAACATTGTAAATGCATGAAAATAAGCAGATCTATCTAAGTACTTTATTAAAGTTGCTTATATTTGGCCATGTGATTTGAAATTTTTATTTATTTTTTTGTAATGACCAAGTTCAGCTAACTGTACTGCCACAGTATTTGTGCTTCTTTTTCTGCTTTTAATTCATTATTCTACTTCCCAATAAAGGTTTTGTACAGGTTTTCTTTACAGAGTACTTTACTTTGTTTGTTCCTCCAGCCCACCCCCCCGGCCCAAAAATCCCAACAGATGCCATGTTTAAGTTATGTTTCAGTTAAAAAATCAAAGTATCTTACCAGAGGAGACCTCTCTGCCAGTGCTCTGTATTATAAAATGGCAGTTGTTTTTCTCCTGAGCTGTTGTGGTGAGTTCCCAAAGCCGGCTTTTATTGATTTATTTCAGTTACCTACAAGACCACTTCTCTTCAGCAGTTTAATGTTATTCAAAACTCAAAATTATGAGCAGTAAAAAGGTTTTGCTTTATTTAGTCAGGTAACCCCATGTTTAAGAAGTGAATCCTCTGTGTCTAGGGATGAAAGGCCCTTGTAAGGCCTACATATCCTCCTCTCTCAACTGTCTGTCCAGGTTACTTCAGAAAAGATGCCTAAATTTTAGATGAGACAAATCTTACTCTGTTATAAAGAAAAAAAAAGTGCTGCAGAAGGGTGAATTCTGAGGCATCTAAGTGAAAGTGATATGGGGGAAACCTTGGGTTTGAGGTGTCTCCCTGAATAACTGTAAGGACAAATGTACCCTGGCCAGCTGATTGTCTCTTTTGTCTCTCAGTAAATACTCAGTTTTGCTGAAGAAGGAAACAAAAATCTGACTACATAAATTTAAAAGGGAAGTTTATTTTGTAAATAATTTCTTTCTTTTTTTTCTTTTTTTTCTTTTTTTTTCCCCAGAACAGTGATATGCTTGCTTGCCACAATTACTGGCACTGGGCTTTATACTTCATTGAAAAGGTATGAGATATTTTCATCCAGGTGTTTAATGGTCCAGATAGATCATCTAATGCTGTTTAAAAGGCAGACCTAACATTTCCAGGGGGTTCAGCAATTTAAAAGGGATGTTTTTATAAAACAGCACAATGCCACACTAACCTAAGTTAGTCCTTTATTACAATTATTTTGAAAAGTTTTAATTGGTCAAAGTTACAGGATCTTTGTTAGAATATTGAAATATTACTGTGAAATTACTGTATGTTTGACAATCAAATAGTCTCACTAATTACATTTAGCACAGTTGTTTGATAGAAAGATAAACTTGGATCTCTAAGTTTCAGACAAAAAATAACAAAATTCTAACCAAACTGGATACTAATTATCTGGCCCAAAATTTTGCTGACTATAAAAATGAGGCAGTAAGCTCTAAATTGGGTTTGCAATGTTATTAATGTTACTAATTCTTATTATTGAAACCCTTTAAAAATGGTTGCAATTTTACCCAGCCAATCAGGATACAATGCAGAATTTCTTTGAATTTAATGCTTAGCACTTGTGGGGTTCAGCTCCATAGGGAGACAAATGTGGCATGTTTGAGAAGGCAGTGTACCTTACCCAGAGGACAGAGTAACTGGCATGTGTTGAGTGGTAGTAGCATAGAAGGAACATAATTCTTGCACTCCTTGTTTGCTTTTCCAGGGTGAATATGAAGCTGCTTTGACAATTTATGACAATCATGTGAGTAGGGGCCTTCTTTCTTTACTGAGAACGTGCTTAAGGTCATGATTTGTGTTTTCTTCCTTCTCTGTGAGATTGAATCTTATCGCAGTGTGTGATACCTGTACATATATTGTTTACATCTGTCATTACAGTTTTTTAGGGAAATAGTTTCTCAGCAATTTTGGGTGAAACGCCCAAAGGACTCATATTTTGAGAATTTGAAAGAGCTACAGTGGTACTGGTTTCCATTCTGTCCATGTTTCTTATTCATGCTTTTAAAGTGATGTAAAATAATTTTCTTATAAAGTCAAGTTACAAAAAACTGGTTTTGCCTGTTAGGTACTAAGTCCATTGCCTGGATTTCAAAACAATCTCTGTAAATAAACAGTATCAAATTAGATAACACGTTGTAAGGATTGTAAAAGTACTACAAGTATTAGGAAAGCTGCTAGGCAGATTTGTATCAACTAACCTTGACAAAGTGAAGGAATATTTGTGGCACAGTTTTGGAAAAAGTAAAATACCTTGGTGACTCTCCATATTTACTGCAAAAAACAACATGTAAAGCAATAAGAATGTTTAACATTGCAAATTCCTGTATTCAGGAAAAATGCCATTAGGACTATTACAAAACAGGTGATTTTTAATTAATAGAAGGATAAAATTAAATTTTTACTGTGAAAATAAGTTTGATAATATGAGTAAGTTTCCACTAGCATATCAGTTGGCCAGCTTATGAGCCCCTGTGATTACAGATTGCTCCGCGGTGCCTGGCAAGTGGAAGCATGCTGGATGTAGTCGATAACTGTTCGATGCTGTATAGGCTCCATCTGGAAGGTGGGATATCCCCTGACCATTCTTTTTTATAACTGTAAGGCAGTTTTCTTTCTCCTTCCCCCTGCCTTGCATGTTGAGGAAGTATTTAAATGTAATTACAAAGCAAGTTTTGTCAGTGTTTCAGAAGAAAATTCTGCTCTTGAGAAAAACATTGGTGTAAAGTTCCTACTAATGTCCATAAGCTTTGTTCTTTCCAAGAGCTTCCATTTCCCATGCCGGTATGGTACTGCAGTCAGCTCAAGCTAGATCACATATTTCTTCTTTGAGAAATTCACTTCTATTGTCCCTGGAGATATGAGGCTGAGTAATCAAGTGCATAAACCTCTAAAAAGCTGTAGCACTTCCTTGAAGTAAATTTCCAGTTAGATCCTTACCTTTCTTTTTTGATCCTGATTGAAACAGCTAGTGTGTGCATACTAGCTTCTGGCTTTATGTACTCTCCTAACTCAGTGGCATGTTCCCCTTTTTAAGACAGTGTTTATACATCAGGGTTCATGGTGGGGGACATGATGGGCAGACATAATTTTCACACTGTTCTGCTAAAACACTAAGATGCATTGTTTTTTTAATTAAATCCATCTTAACACTCTGTCTTTTGATTGCTACAGATGGCTCATGGTGAGCATCACTTCCAAGAAGACATTATGAGCAATTTCATAATAAAGTCAGAAGCTCACATAATGCAATCTAAAATCCTGGCTTTAAACTCCTGACAGTCTATAAACTCTCCTCACAAACACAGCTGCAGCTGAACATTGCTGCACATATTTTGCCATATCGGGGTATGTTTTTTTGAGTTCAGTAGGAATGGTTTTTATGCTTAGTGACTGAAAATGTATTGCAAAGTCATGCTTCTGCATGTGGCATTTTTATTGAGACAGATATTTTTTGCTGTTAGGTGTAAAGCTTGGAGACAGGTGGAAGGATGTTCTTGCGCTCACGAAGAAGCACACCAAAGATCACATTCTTCTGTTCAATGATGTGCACTTCTTGATGTCTTCACTTGGAGCCAAGGACCACAAAACTACCCAAGAGCTTTTAACAACTCTTCAGGAACTTGCCAAGTAAGCAAAGAAGTTACAGTGTTGGTTCAGTAAACAGTTTGCCCTCTGAACTTGAGGGTGATGATGTCTCTGGCTTGCTGAAGCACTACAACATGCTCTCTGGTGCTTTAGCATGTCGCTGGGACACATCTGGTTTTAGCAGGCCAACCTCCAGTTAGGAGATCCGTATAATTATTTATTTCTTGAGTTAATGTGTACAAGGGTTTCTCAGCTTGTTAAGCAGAAATCTTTTATATTTGAGGTAGTGGACATCAACTGAACAGTTGCTGTTTATTTCCTTTTAGTGGGATCACACATACAAGGAATAAAGTATATTAGTAAGGGCACTCTATACATCTATGTGGTGGTTCTTTTGTGCTCTGGTTTAAAAGGTTCTTTAACAACAGAACATTAGCTGGTAGTGATATTCTAGTGGCTACTGTTTGATGTGAAGTACATCTGCAGAAAATTAAATTTCAAGTACTACTAAAGTAATAATCTACAATATTTTGCTTCCAAACTAAATTATTTGAAAAATTTCAGTATTTAAGTATTACATCTAAAAATAAGGGGTTTTCATTCCCTTATGTATTAAGTGGCTGTAAATTGCCTTGATTTTTTGAAGGGGTTGATTTATAGATGTTTTAAATACAATTTCTTTCCCCCTCCACCCTTTTTTCCCCTTTTGTTTCAGCATCTGTTTCTTCGTCTTTAAAAAGAAGGAAGATCCTGAAACTGACACTATTTGCTCCTGACTATAAGTAGTTTTTAAGAACATTGTAATTTTTAAGAATACTTATGAAAACAAATAACTGTCAAAGCAAGCCTAAGTATGTCTGATTTGACTAAAGTAGGAAGGAAATGGCAAATATCTTTTATGTAAGTTTATATGTCAGTATATATAAAGTGTAGAAAACTGCAAATCAGGGAAGATTTAATGAACATAGATATTCATATATGCTACTTACACTTTCACCCAGTGCTTCCTTTTGCCTACATATTCAGCCTTTTGTAATAATACAGATGTATACATTTTTAGCTGTTATAAATCTTAATTTCATTATTTGAGAAAACAGGCAGCAAGATGAAGGAGTTATATTAATGATTGGATTCATTTACATTTCTCACAATTTTAGAATATATAAATGATACCCTAGATACTTTTGTCTGTGTTAAAAAAGCAGTCATGTTCTGGTAAGGTCAGCAGAAGAGAAGCTGCGGTTTTCTTATTCTTTTGGGCAAAACTTCTTATTGCAAGGGTAGGAGGGAGTTGTGCCTTTTGCGGGTATATTCAGGAGAATAAAAACAAATTGATGGCTGAGTAAGAAGGTGGGAGTAACATAACCACACCAAAGGATATGATCTAAGTCAAGGACCTGAAACATCAGGCATTGTACAGTTAAAAAAAAATAAAAACCAGTCTGCAGGCAGTGACAGACTGGCACTGAAATACAACATATTTATGCTTTGACTTATGGAAGTTACCTACTCTTTCATTCTACAGAGCACCTTGTGAAGACCACCAGCTTTCCCTGGCTCCTAGTTTGGGGTTGCCACTGTGCCATGCTTTTGTAGAGTTTGAAAATGGAAATTGTGACAAAGCTGTAGACCTGCTGTACCCAATCCGTTATCAACTAAGCCAACTAGGAGGCAGTAATGCCCAGGTAAGGGAGACAAGAAAAGACTGTTTCATATGATTTAATCCCCTTTCAATAGCCTCTGTTAGGCACTTACCTAATCAACAACATTTCATACTTAGAAAGTGAAAGCTAAACTGTGCTTGTGACTGAATCCTGTTTGCAAACACTTACTAGTAGGGTTAGCTATTTAATTTAATGTTGATATGTTTCCTCCATGTGGATTTAATAAATTGGTAAACAAAACATTGTAACCGACAATACATTATAAATTATTTATTTTGTATTTTGCTGACTCTTTTTTTCAGAGAGACGTTTTCAGCCAGTTATTGATTCATGCTGCTTTAAATTCTAAATCACAGGCCAAACGAAACCTTGCAAGGTGAGTGTTTTCCCTGAAAAATATTTATGGAAGTAGAAGTGTTACGAAAAGCAAAAAGTAATGAGTATACTCAAACCAATAAATTTAAAGCTGAAATTATATGCAACCATTTATGTGAAATGTAGAAGCATTTAACCAGGATAAAAAGTAAAATAGCTTCAAATTCCAAAAGTACAGTCTTGCAGCCTGGATTAATAATCTATATTTGTTCAAGGGTAGTTGATTTTCAAATGGTTCTGTCTTAACCTGTTCATGAGTGTACATTATGGACTGCTAAACTTGTGTGAACTGGTGGAACTCCAGTCTGTCCTGTTGCAGACATCTGCTGGATTGGGACAGATGAGGTGTGCTCTGACATGTACAGGTGTGCTCTGGCTCAGTGCAGATCACAGGAGCCTTGTGTGGTAGAACAGTCAATGTGGTTTATCACCCACACTGAGTTCTGCTGAAATGCAGTGCATGGGTCTGCCTGGGCCCTAAGGGGAATGGATCCTTGGGACAGTAGGAAGCCTTGCCTGTTCTCCTCCTGAGGTCTCTCTGAAACATTAAAATTGGGTGCAATAGCAAAATGATGCTTCTTTGCCCTCTGAGCTCTAGGTGCTTGTTTTCAGTCTGTCAGTGCTGAAAACGATGCTGTTCTGCCTAAAAGGGATTCCTGCCCAGGTCCAGTGTTTCCCGTAAGAAAAATCTGTACCTCCGGTACAGGTCTTTATGTACTGATTTCCTCTTACAAGAACACTGCTGGTGATCTTACAGGAAAACTGATGCTGTACTCACAAATGTCCTGTTTCTCTCCTACTTGTCCTTTCTCAGGTGCCTCCTGAGAGAACGTGATGTGGTGAGACCCAATTCACCAATGACAGAGCGACTTATCAGGAAGGCAGCAGCCATCCATTCCATGGCATAACGCTTTCCTCCATGCTTCAGGTGAAATAGCTATGTGCTTACCACAAAGTCTGAGTGCAAGGAGGGCAGGGGTAGCTGTGCTGGAACTGGGGGAGGTTCCTAGGGATTAGAGATGTGATAACGATTTTCTTAAAAAAAAGGACACAGCTGTTGCATTTCAGGAGGTTGTATCTTAGATGATTCCACAAAGAAAGAAGAAAACCTGCTGATAATGCACAGCTTTCTGAAGCATCCCAAGGGCACTGCTTCTCTGGTATATTTTCCTGAACATTCCCTCTGACCCTGATTGTATACAGTGCAGTAACAGTGCCTGGATTTCAGTCATTCTCTGGCCCAATTTGTTACCCAATTTGTATGGCTAATACGTTAAGTAACTAATAACTGCTCAGGTAATTCAAAGGGAGCTTTTAAACAAAGCTAAGAGGAAGGTGTGGGATCAGAGCCAATACAGGCTTGAAATGAATTCCATATTAAGCTTCTAGTTTATTCAGGAATGAGTCACAAACTAGGGCATTACAGATCTGTCTGCATTCAGGATCTCTTTCTGGGTGCACATTTCTAAACTGCCTCTCATAAAATCTTAGGTTTTTATTTTCAGTATAGCATGGCAGAGCTTTCTAAAATTATTATGTGGATGAAAACAGACAAGGGGGATAATAGTGACTGTTCTAACATGGGTACTCCCTTAGCACTTTAAAATCTTTCAGAAAAAAAGGAAAAGTCTGGACTTCATCTAAAACAGTACCATCTCTGAAAAGTACTTTGGACTGGGGTCTTTGGGCTTACCTGAGCTTATGGGAAGTCAGGCCTCACTATCATCTCGCTACAAGGCCCTGCATGTTAGCAGGTGTTTAAAATCAGTATGAAAGCACACACTTAAAGAGGTCTCTCTGAGCTGGTGAAGACTGAAAGGGAGCTTCTGCCATGGAAGGAAAGCAAAGCTCTATCCCAGCACATGTGATGTGATAAGCTCTGGTGCTGCATATGAGGCAGAATATGAGCCTCTATCAAGTTCTGGTGCCTCTAGATTCCTGCAGTGTACCAAGTTAACAGATTGCCATTGCCTTGCAATAGTATTCCAGAAATCTGTAATGATAGGAAAGATGGTATTTGGAACCAAAACTGAACCCATGCCTCTTCTTCTTCCTGAATAGAAATGTCATACTCTTCAACTGCCCAAGCTCTGGCTTTGCTACCACATCTGCAAGCTCTCCTGGCCACAGATGCCTTCCCCTCCTTCCTGCCCAGCTCAGGCTCTTCCCCATGTTCCGCAGAAGCCTCCTCCTACACACAGTTTCCTTTTGATCTAAAAAAGCACTTCCATAGCTGGCTCTGCACTGCCCCTGGAGTTCCTGCATAGAGGAACAAGAAGTGGAAGTGCCTTGCTGCCATCCTTCCCCCAGCCCTCCTTTGGGGCAGAAATTGCTTATTTTTAAAGCAATGATAATTTGTGAAACCAGGTAAGCGGTTGCATTCTCTCATGCGGTCTTGTGACTTATGATTACACTGTTCTTCAGCTTCATCACTGCTTTGTCTGTCCAGCCATGTCTGGAGGTGACTCACTCTGGACTAAAATTACACTGTATTTTTACTATTATTTTTAATCAGTGCATTTCAAGCAATGACTTTAGACAGGAACCTTTTTATTCAATGAATATAACAAATCTGATTAGGGAACAAAAGCCTGAGAAATCTCTGGCTGTCTTTGCAGGGTGTAGTTTATGTGATCCATTGCTACACAAGTTTAAGAATTACAGTTGAAGTACTTGTGATATAACGTAACTGAGAATTTTGTCTGCTTTACATCAATAAACTCAAAGATGGATTTGGTTGAGCAAGAAAGTATATGAGTTCTTTGCATGTGTGAAGTTTTAAATGTGTTACTCAGCTTAATCTCATAAACATGTAACAGTGTACATCCACTTTGCTTCCATCACTGGGACTAGAAGCTTTTTCATTCAACTAGTATTAAAAATTTTGCCCATAAATGAGAACTTCTGGTTTTCTGCCTTCCCCTTTTACCTAAAATTCTCAAACCATTCTGTCTTGCTTCACTATGTACTGCTGAATTGTTGGAAAATAATTAACAAGCAGATAGCTCAGTGGGTAGAATAGGAGAAAAAGAACTGGACCAAGGACATGCTGACTCCTAAAGGCTCTTTGTACCTAAGCGGAGCAGCTGAAAAGCAGGTGACACAAACTATATAAACATCTAATGCTCGCCAGAGAGATAGCTGTGTACAGCCACCATGCAGGCTGCCAGGACACAACACTGGGCAGCAGTGAAGGGACTTGTTCTCAGGCCCCAAGTTCTGGTCCTGGAAAAAAGCATTGCATTTGTTCTGCAGACTCCCACCTGCAGCTGCCTTGTCATGGAGCTGTCACATGGAAGCTACCTCAGACAAAAGCAGGGCCCACAAGGGCAGTGGCAATAGGCAGTGCTAGGACTGCTGGAAAAAAACCAAATATGGTTTCACTTCAGTCACTAGGAAGGAAAAAAAAATTACTTCAAAAATTCCGTTAGTTATCAGGAAAGCACGCACTGACTGGGTCTTACCTTGAAGCTGACTTGTTGCATCAACAAGTGGAACCATAACTCAGCCCAGTGCCTCCACAGGCGCCCCCTGAGGCCTCGTGCTTTGCTCTCCCACACAGGCCTGGTCCCAGGTTCACAGGGCCAGGGGTCACAGCCAGCCTTGGCAAACGTGGCATCTCCTTGGAGTCAGTTAGGAAGAGGCTGAAGTGCCAGTAGGTGGGAGAACCATTGTTTCTTTCTGCCTCATCCTCATGCATTCAGAGCATATATTTTCCAGCTTCCCTCCCTCTTCAGCTCAGCTGCCCAGACTGCAGTTCTCTTCTTCCTCCCTTCTGCGAGCAGCTCTCATCTCCAGTCTGCCCCCTCCCTGAGGAAAAAGCCAAAGCCCTGTGCACCTGAGACCTGCACCCCCTGGCAGCAGGGCAGTTTTGACAATGTGAACAGCACTGCAATTCCTATTTCTTCCCTTGTCCTTCCTCTACATGCTGTGATTTGGACTGATTTTAAGCTGTCAGCATCTCACTGGCACCCTCCATTTAGTGGCCTGCCTTGTAGCTTACAAGACTGTGGGGAGCGCTGTGTCTGAGAGGTGCCTCGTTCAGGTTCTTTTAAAGTCAATCATCTAGATATTAAAAAAGTACACCCTTAGAATAAGTCAGTATCTCACTTCTTCAAGATATTAAACCCAGTAGTTTTGATACTACTTAATTATTTCCTCTTGTTTTAGGACTTCAGCAACTGCTCAGAGCAGCTGTTCAATTACATGAAATCCAACCAAATTACCCCATCACATTAATATTAAATGCATCTTAGTTAGGAAGTTAAATGGCAGAAATATTCTCCCTGAATCAAGACTATTCTCTCCTTTGTACTTAGCTAAGCATCTGCACTATAATGCCAACTCACATCTGTGCAGTTCTGGTTTAGACAGGTGGAAGGAAGACACAGAGCACAGGCAGCAGCTGGTTCTCTGCTGTGTTTACATACAGAGGCAAACTGCACACTAATAAGCAAAAAGTGACTGAAAACACATTTTATTTGCAAATACAGCAAAGTCAGTGATTCAGGAACTCTGCAGACAAACAAGAGACATCTTAAAAAGTGGCAAAATCTTCCCCTTTTAATGCTTTACTGACACATGTTTTCATTTAGTTCTAAGACAATCATTTTAATAAGATTTCCTGGGTTTATCTCTTTCCATCCTCTTGGGAACTTGCAATCTTTGAGTGGTTAACAGATTGGTATCAAGATGCAAAAAAGTGGAAGGCTGTTGGTGTTACTGTAAAGCTTATCTGAAAGTAAAAATTACTGCTCCTCTGTCCTCACCAACAGTTTCCCTCTTAACAGCTAGACTGCCTACATCTTTGTACAGAGGGTTTTCAGTTCCATCAACTTACAGACTGCTTATTAAAATCCAGTAGAAACTCTGCACAAATTTCTGGTGGGGTTTTTCGGGAACAACAAAAAGCATGTAACTGCAAAAAAGGGCTCAGCCACTGTTGTTAGGGTTGTACATCGCTGAGAAAGTGAGTTTCTCCAAAGTAGAGCCAGGAAAGCATTATGTGGGATAACCCACAGCTACCTCAAAATACAAAGAAGAACCTCACTTGTCAGCGCGTTGCCCAGTGCAACATGGGCAACAAAATGTGTGGACAGTGTCTTAGGACAGCAGTTCTACCACTGGCCTTCAGAGAACATAACTGGTCTCTGCCAGTCATGTCCTACGTCTGGAAAAACGAAAATTGACGCAGACAAATAGGACAGAAAACCTCAATGCTCCTTAAGAAGTTTCTTCTGTCCTATCACATTCACAAAACAAGTGTTCACATTGAGAAACTATGTGGCCACATCCACTGCAAAGCCTGGCTCGTTGGGACACAGCCTTCATACCCTTACAGCCATTAGCTGCAGCCAAACCCTCAAATTTCAGTGTCTGCTTACTCATAAGTTGTGGCTTTCACAGCTTCAGTTGAGCTCTGCTTTTGTAGAGGTCAAATCAAGTTACTGCAGATCTCCATAAAGAATTTGATCCAACAACTTTCTGATCCGTCATTGTACAGACAAAAATTTTCCGCTCAAGAATTAACGACATGGATTTTAATATAGGCTTTTTTTTTTTTACCATTTGAACTCAAAACTTGTATCAGAGTTAACAAGCAGTGTTTTGAAAACAAAGTCATCATTCTCACCTACACTGAGCTGTTTACAGTAATTACAGATGAGAGGATCAAGAACAGATGAATTCTGCACTGAAAAGAATCTCTATAAAAACCTGAAAGCTTCCTTAAAAGCTACTGTACTGTTAATTTTTCTTCTAACTGTTCACAAAGAGAAATCCTCTCTATTTTTAAGACAATGCATTTACAGTTATTTGCCCACAGAATTGATAACATCCCATCCCACAATTCTGATTTTCCTGCTACGGTTTTCCAAATGCCTATGATTCATTTAAAAGAGGAAGAAGAAAAGACAGTCTCAAGTGTAATAGCTGTTTTGCCAGCCCTCCTCAATGCAAAATTTGTTTGGATTAACATTCCAAAGAACTGTATTAAGAAGAAAGAAGTCACTAAGTACGAGAACACCTGCAGTACGGAAAACAAGATGAGGGATATAAACTGCCACGATCCCTCTAAGATATAACACATCTTTTTTCATCCTCTTTATACTCTATTATGTACTCTGGGTAAATCTGGTGTTTTTCAAAGACAACAAAAACAGAAGGATTTAACTCATCATCCACACAGCTGTCATAAAACCAAAGCCCATCCACAGACTTTTTTGGAGGACGAACATAGGCTGCATTCCCTTTAATATAGTCTCCAACCAAAACACGAGCCACAAACATCATGTTTCCTTTCTCCGTAGCCTGACAGTATGCATGGGAATAGGAAGCTTCTCTAGCAAAGTAACTTCCTGGAAAACAAGATGAAAATGTGGTTGTAAGTAGTATCTACAGAGACAGCAAAAACTGAGCACCCCCTTGGTTTTCAGGAGGTATCTGACACAACTTTCAGGACACTTCTTACTCACTTTACATAATATCACCAGAATTTTTGCAAGAAAAAGGATTTCACCATATAATTTTCATTCAGAATTTGCTATTTCATGAGTAATTTTTTAAAAAGCAATAAATATAAGCTCACTAAAGGTACTGTGTGTTATGATGAGAGGGATAGACAAGAAAACATGAGGACCTTTCATGATCACACTGAGGGAATGCACACCCTTCTTGCTCCCTGCCATTAATTTTTCTTGCAAGTTCAAATTATGACCTCAAGCACCAGAAGATCTCACCTACAGCAAACCCCTATATCAGTTCTCTGGACATCTTGTGAGAAAACTTACCCCCACACAAAGCAAATCCCAGCCCTGTTCAGAAGGAAGGAAGATCGTAATACCTATTCATACCTTTTTTTTTTAACCTTCTGTAGTTAAAGACTTCAGGACTTTGATTGTTCCGCTATCAGGAGAGTCTGAGTAGACATCTAACGCACAAAGTCACTTCCTACATACCCATTCCATAGTTAGTTCCATTTTTTCCACAAATTCTCCAGTCAAAATTCTGAGCGCAGATGGTTTCCGTGAAGGAGGTGTTGGTTCCATGAAACAGGAGCTTTTCCTGCACTTCCTTTCCTCCATTCTCCCTTTTCATCTTCTCCTTTTGCCTGACAAAAAATGCAAGGGAGGAGAATGTAAGCCATGGAAGAAAAGGGAGAAAGAGATTTAAAAAAAAAAATCAAAAAAAGAAACCTCAAACAACTTTATATGTCCTTGTAAATGTCAGCTGGATGAGATTTCCAGCCTGCCTTCTCTCAGCTCGGAAGATGAGACAGACCAGCAGTGTGATGAACAAGTACAAGATAAGCACTGTATTGATACCACTGCTAAGCAATTCTAGATAATTCTGACTTTACTCAATGAATTTAAGGAAACATTGACACACGTCTCCACTGTACCAACCTTTTGCTCCTTTGTAGGGTCCTACTGATTCTGCTTTAAGGTCTCCTGTTCCTTCCCACCCTGACTTTCAGTGAAGTGGAGGCAGCAATAACCATGGAGCCTCCATGCTTCCACAGTGGCTGAAAGCTACAGGCAGCTTGTTCTTTGTGCCAACACCCTGAGCTCCTGCACCTGGGGAAGATCAGTGTTGCTGAGGAGACAGGGCCAGGAGAGAAATCGAGCCTGCTTTCACTACTGCAGACCTCACTGATGTAAGCCAAACTAAGCTATGAACAGGATCAAAAGTGGAATCACAACAAAAGGCTCAACTAGAGTATTTCCCATCACTATTCCACAGCCTCCAGATAACCCTCAGGTTTTCAGAAGCTGTTGAAGTGGACAAGACAGTAATATTCTTCAGAAAATGATCAGCTACAAAATAAGCAGGGCCAGGGTGAGGGAAGAATCCTTCCAACACGTAAATTAAGAAGTGAAAAGTTAAAAGCAGTGGACTGAAATTTGTTAATTGAGAACTTAACTGTGATGGTGGGGAGGCCCTGGTACAGGTTGCCCAGAGAAGCTGTGGCTGCCCCATCCCTGGAATTGTCCAAGGCCAGGTTGGATGGGGCTTGGAGCAACCTGGGCTAGTGGAAGGTGTCCCTGTCCATGGCAGGGGTGGAACTGGATGAGTTTTAAGGTCCTCCCAAACCAATCTACTCTATAATCCTATGGACTAAGCAATGTTAAATTCTGCCTGCTTAGCTTAATTATCTCATTGGAGTAGGATAAAAAATATGCACTATTACATGTTTTGAAGTCTCCTGTGTTTTGCTAGATGAAAAGGTTTTATGCAATCATTAGCAGATAACTTCCTGGGTTCCGTCACTTTGCAGGGGAAAGCACAAATTTCAGCAGTATTTTTACTCCATTACAATTCCATACAGTCCTTGAATACTTACTCTTGTTTTAAACTAGACAACCGTGCAATGCAACAGCTTAATCTTCTACCCAATTAATGTGAATCTGGTTGAGCCCCAGCTCACATCTATTGGTATCTAGCTTGGTATCTACCTAGAGTTCAGTATCACTGATGCAGATGTTGAAAAGCAGAAAGGAGCCTTAGAACTCAGAGATCATGAAATTCAAATGCAAGGATTCTTTCTCAGTGAGTAATGACTTCAGTCAGCAAAAGTACCTTAAATAAATGTGACTGGAACAAAAAGACCCAGGCAGCCTTTAGCTTTTTTAGCATTTCATATACTCTAAACAGACAGGGCATGTGTGCAGCAGGCAGTTACTGCTCAATCCCTCAGACAATCACTATTCCACATCCCAGTGGGTATGCTCATCCCAGTTTTGTGTCACATGTCTTTCTCTCCGTGCTCCTCTCCCCCTCTTCCAGGGAACCATGCAAAAAGAACCTCCCCACAGGAGCATGACATTATACAAAAGGCCTCAGACACTAATTTCACTCCTGAAACTGCTCCTAAGAAGGAATATGCTAAAGCACAGGTGATAACCTCCTTTCTTTCTTAGAAAGCAGATACAGGACACCTTGTTCTTGGAGACTCCCTCCCTGTAAGGATAAGGAAACAAATACTAACCACTGAAACACCTTCCAGAGGGATGGATTCTGAATCCTCTGTATTTTAAGGATGCTGTAGGTTTTCATAGTCTGATGGAACAGCTGCTTTATTGTGTTGTACTCAGGGGTCACACTACTGATCACCACTGCCTATAAAATACAAACCAAGCATAAGATGACATGAGGCTTCAGTTGGCTCGTAAAGTGCCGAAACCTTATTAAAGCAGGTACACTTCCAGAAGGGTCCCCGAACTATGCTTATAAGGGTAATGTAATGCTTTAAATAGTGACTATGTGAATAATTAAATAATAAGTAAATCATTATGTCACTCCTGCTTTGCAAGGACACCTCACCTCTCTTCAGAAAGGATGCTGAAAGTATCAGTTACAGGTTTATCATCTCCAAGAGTTGACACTTGCAATGTTAAATCTCAATGAAACAGAAATCACAAAAAAGAAAACTTGACTGATTATTCCAGATAATGTCAGTTTTATATCTAAGGCTATTAAGAACAAAAGATGTTAGATAACAGTATCGTTTGTAACCAGACATTTATGGGAGCTTCGGAAACAAAAAGCCTATACACCCTCCTGGCATTGTAATGCCTTAACTTTTCAAAGTTAGAACTTGGAAAGCTGCACTTAGAGACATAAGAAAAAAAGCTACAATTCTAGACAAATGTGACACTAAGTACCTGCTTAAGCAAATACATCTCCTTTCCTGAAGGCAGCTAAGTCTATTAATCTATTTTCTTTTATTTATCTATTTATCCCTACTTTTCATGTTTAAAGATCTGTCAAGAAATGCACGTTTTCCCAATGAAAAGTTAATGCAAAATACAATTAAAACATTATTTGAACTCTTCTGCTTGCTTATGTGATACATAAATTTTCCATTTTTTCTCCAAAGTAACCCATGTCTTTAATCTTCTGGAATTAATGTTTATCTCCATAAACTGCAAAGGCATGATGCTGGCAGACTGATGTCACCTTTCCACTTTACCACAGCCCAAGCCAAGTGGGGACTTAAGATGCTATGAAGTGAAATGCCCAACATCCCACGTTCTAAAGTGCTTTAAGCAGGAAAGCTGGAGCCATTCTAGAGGGTAACAGGAAGCCAACATCTTGACCTACCAGGCAAAACATTTGAGAAGGCTGAGTTTGGAGAGAATATAAAATAGGACTTGTATTTCACAGCTGCATAAAGAAGTGTTTTTTGGACACCACGTCGAGCTTGTGCATTAAGTACTTACTAATGAAGAGACCTGTCACAGGGAAGTCTATGAAGATTAAAGTCAGCTGCACAAGAAAGAACCATTTCTTTGAATTCATTTAAAAGCCTTAATAAGGTTGAGCGAAATTTCCCATGTCTCAATAGGGGTGTGTTTTCCAAAACTGCTTTACAACACAACACATAAAAGAATTGGGATGAGCAAAAACTGATTATCTGCACACTCTGTGGCACCACAGCTCAAGCTGCTCACCATCACCTACAGGATGAAAATTATGTCATTATACTTCAGCACTACATCTTTTATTTAGAATCAGAGAATAGTTTGGGTTGGAAGGGACTTTAAGTCTATCCAGTCCCACCCCCTGCCATGGGTAGAGACACCCAGGTTGCTCCAAGCCCCGTCCAACCCGGCCTTGGAACTCAGCCATTCCAGGGATGAGGCAGCCACAGCTTCTCTGGGCAACCTGTGCCAGGGCCTCCCCACCCTCATAGGGAAGAATTTCTTCCTAATATCCCATCTAATCCTATTCTCTGTCAGTGTGAAGCCATTCCCCCTTGTCCTGTCACTCCAGGCCCTTGTAAGTAGTCTCTCCATCTTTCTTGAGGGCTCCTTCAGGCACTGGAAGCCACAGTTAGGTCACCCTGAAGCTTCTCCAGCTGAACAATCCCAGCTCTCTCAGCCTTTCCTCCCAGCAGAGCTGCTCTGTCCCTCTGTTCATCTTGGTGTCCTACTCTGGACTCGCTCCAGCAGCTCCGTGTGGGGTTGTCCTCATTTCCCCAAGGATGCTTCCACTGCTACGAAAGGGTCATAGCACCATATTGCTGGTGCAAGCTGATACTTCATAACTACACAACTTTATCACTGTTTTTCACCTGCAGTCCTGAAAAGGAAAATCCTATTCAGTGTGAGCATTTGCTGTCCCATTATCAAGGAGAGGAGTTCCTGAGGCAGCGCAAGAATCACTGGCCTGACAGTAATTTCCATTAGTGTGTGACTGTACAAGCACAGTACTCTGTGATATCACGCCATGAGCTCTGCTTCTCTTGGAGTTTGGAGGGAACAGAGTTTGTATTTGTGACAGTGACATGACTAGAACAAGTCTAATACAAAAAAAAGCCTTTTTTCTAGCATGCTGTAGTACTTCCACAAACTGTGCTGCTTTTCCAGAATGACTGCTGGATGTAGTAAACTAAAAAACACCTACACGTTTTGGTCCTGGTAGACCAAATAGGAACATACACTTTTGGCTGACAGTGGGTTTGTTTTGTTGAAGAGATCACTTCAAATGTTCTCTCATTTTATTGCTGTAGCCCTTTATTTCTGCCAATCCTGGAGGCCAAGGTCTATGCTCAGATCTGTGACGTATGCAACAGTACTGGAGGATATACAGATTTCCTTTCCTATATTTCCAGTCCAAACTTTATCTACCAACAGCCATGACAGCATTACTGGGCAGCTGATTTAATGGTTTGTAGGGTCTAGTCTCAGTCCAACTTCTAGTGAAGGAATATACACTTCATAAAAGCCCTTTGCTTAACTGGTCCACCGAGTAACCAAGGTAAGACAATTTTTAATTTTAACAGTGAATCTTTTTTTCTCAAACTTGGCAAGTTTTGGGTTTGCATGTAGATAAATGGCTAAAATGCAGATGAAGTTCAAGGGAATTTGGCATCTTTTTCTTGGGAGATCAGCAAGATCTTCAGCACGCCCCCCAAGAAATCACTCCTGTCCCTTTTCAGCATCTACATAGTTACAATTGATTCAGTTAAGCTTTGAATCCTGCCTTTCCATCAGAATTACAAGTATAGAAAGAAAAAAGATACCTTGTATCCCAAGTCAGGCAGTGCAGATTGATCCCAGTGGCTAGGACAGGCTTGATTTGGAATAGAAGAATCCCTCTGGCTATTTGCAGAAAGAAAATTAAGTAATTATTAATTCTAGTACTGCTCTAAACATTGAAATTTGCAGCATTCCTTTTAGACAATTTCTGCATTTAAAAATTAACAAGATAAACCACAAAGAAACTGGGAAATGGCCTCAGACTGTGAGCTGGGCTTCGCATGCTGCCACTCAGTCATCACAGGCCTCTTGCACTTGCTTTTCTAAGTAGCAACTGTGGACGTAGTACCTGGAGTAACATGTACCCCAGATGCCCAGTGATGCACCAAGCCAACAGTTTGTGATACAGCCTCTGTTCGGTGCCAGGGATGTGCTTTGTGCTTTCTCCCAGCAGCAGCTGTGTTCTTTGCACCATTACTGACACCACTGACAGCCATTTTGCCCTGAACCTCTGAAATATAACAAAAACCAACATAAAGAGCATAATTTACCCTTTCTTTATCTTCTGCACATCTTCAGAAGACACAAATTTTGGTCGCCTGCAGACCTGTCTTCTAGTTTTAAAAGCAATGTTTGTCTGGGTCATTTCTTGAGGAGAAAAAGAACAGGAAAAAAAATCATGAATAAATCTACAGGATGGGGTCAGTAATTAAGGACAGGCATTCTTTAATGGAAAGTCCATATTCATTACCAATTCTACCTGATGAAGAGTAGTTGCACAAAGCCTGTGTAAGCTTCTTGTCCTTCCTGTAACTGTGAACCTGTGCCTATCTTGCTTGCTCCCTCGAGTTCCTCATGCTCTTTAAATGTTGCTCCAGCAGCACAAAGATGCTTGATTTGTACTTTTTACCATCCACAGAATTAATTCACTTTACTTAAGGTTTACTATGACTTTTTGTTTCTGGTCATATGTGAGTCTGGAAAGTGTCAAGGAATAAGGGGGAAGGTTACTTTTGTAAGGAATTTCCTCTGGGCCATCACTACCTCACTTCCCCTTCCAATAAGTAAAACTGGTAGTGTCAGGAAAGGAAGCCATAGCTTGTAAAAGCTGGGAGAGTTTGCAAGTTAAGTCTTTGTACAGCACTGCATAGTTGTACACAAGAACCTTTAAAATAAGTACCTTTAAAATTGAGGTTGTAATGATGCTGACCAGCCTGGAAAGATATGGTGGCATCTGGATCTACTTGATACAAATTCTCAAGAACAGCAGAAGATGGTGAGTCCACACTGTCCCCTTCTCCCTTTGTGGGAAGAAGAGAAAAAAAAAAAAAAAAGAGAAGGAAGAGTATCACAGTCAGGACTAAACCCTGGATAAATCACTTGGGTAGAGAAAAACGAAAGGCAAAGAGTAGGATGAAGAGAATCTACTCAGAACTATGGTGGCCTGAAGCATGAGTACAGAACATTTATAACATAGACACAAATACGTAAGTAGTAATGACAGACACAAGTGTATCCTGTAAGAAGTTGTGTTGGTTTGGGCTGGGGTAGAGTTACATTTCTTCCCAGTAGCTGGTAAGGGCTGTACTTTGGGTTTGTGCTGGAGCAGTGCTGCCAAAACAAGGATGTTTTCCTTATTGCTGAGCAGGGCCTGCACAGAACCAAGGCCTTTTCTGCTCCCCCCCCCACCCCACCAGCGAGGGGCTGGGGGGCACATGGAGTTGGGAGGGGACACAGCCAGGACAGCTGATCCCAGCTGGCCACAGGGACATCCCAGACCATGTGAGGTCATGCTCAGCACATAGAGTTGGGGGAGAAGGCAGAAGGGGAGATGTTGGAAGTGATGGCGTTCGTCTTCCCAAGTCCCTGTGACTGTGATGGAGTCCGGCTTTCCTGGGATGGCTGAGCACCTGCCTGCCATGGGAAGTAGGGAATGAATCCTTTGTTTGGCCTTGCTTGTGTGCACGGCTTTTGTTTTACCTACTAGTCTTTATCTCATCCCACCAGTTTTCTCACTTTTACCCTTCTGATTCCCTTGCCAATCCCATGGCAGAGGAGGGAGCGAGTGGCTGTAAGGGCTGAGCTGCCATCAGGGTGTGACGGCTGCACTCGGCTCCTTACCAAACTAGTGTTTGTTTGGTTCAGGCTCCAAAGGAAGTAATGGCCTAGGCCATGACAAGGCCATGAACTTTTCCAGTTCCAACCTGTTCTCTGAAAACCCACAAAGGCACAGGGTGACATGGTGAGCATTGATGCATATGAGCTTGGAAATGAACACTGACCATGTGAGTAACACATGAATAGCAGGTGGTTGTTCCAAGACTAATCGGTCAAGGAGTAAAGAAAGTTGCAGGTTTAAGGAGTTTCACATTTCTCTTTTATTTTGCATGTAATTTAATTCTGAGCCAACCACTTTATTCCACAAATAGGACAGCCTGAGTGAACTGGTTTTGAGCGCACCCTGCTAAAGAGTGAGCTGCACAGCAGTGGTCTCTCCTAGAGCTGGGACGCCTCTCAAGTTTACTCCTTGAGGCTGAGGCCTTTACCAACTGCACTATATCCAAGATCTTTCCCTGCATACTTTTCCAAGTCCCTGGATCACCTTTGTGTTCTACCATTTGCACAGATATACTGTAAAGCATATGAGGAAAACCCATTTGCCTTGGGGGAAGCTGAGATTCCTTATTTCTTTTCCTGCATTTTTCAGATAGATTAGTTTCTCATCAGAGGACCTGGCCATCCAAGGGAAAAGACTGCATTTTATCTGAGAGAGCAAAGCAACCCCTGCATGTTCAAGGAAGCAGGGCAATGATTTGAAGAGAGGGAAGTACTTTGCATATATCTTAAGGACAGTGTATACATGTTCAATCTATGCAGAAGCCATGGATAACTCCAAAACGGAGTTCCCTTCCCTCCAGCCTGTCAGCATTTTATTACATCTCTTGTGAACACCTGTAGCTTTGCTGCCTTACCTGACACTATAAAATTCAAGCACAAGGATTCACTGAATTAAACCTGCTGAGTAAAGGGGAGTGGGGGGAGAGGCTCCATATTCCTGTAGAAGTGACTCAAAGCACAGGATATAAACTCACCTGTTCTCCATATTCAATCCACTGGCCTTGGTTATTCTTCCAATACCATATCCACTGTGTGGTCAGTACGAATGTGGGTTTTGTGACTGATGATGGTGTAGAGAGGCGCCGAACTGGAGAAGAATAGCAGGTCATTGTCTGAAAGTTAATGTTCCTGCTTGCTATGCTGTAAGGAAAAATCCAGTTAATCTTTTATCCTCTAACCCTCTGTTTAGGCTTGTGCAATTTTCTTTTAATATAATGTCACTGAACTTAATGTCACTTTAATATAATGTCACTGAAATAAGAGTATTTTCCACAGCACATGGCAGCTCTGAAAACCATTTCCAAGCTTTATAAGCAAACTGAGGCCTGGGAGACATGGAATGCCATGTCAATCACTGGCCATATGTGGCAATGCCAGCTTTACAGACAGCATAGGACTACAAGTACAGCATGGCAAAAGGTACTTTGCAATAAGGAAAGTTTCCAGTTTGTCTCAGTACAAAACAAGAATTTCGTAAGTACATGCAGCTTATCAACTTTGTTCTTTTCCTGTGGTTAGTTACAAAGGATGCAATCACAACCATCACAGCTGTGAGGTCTGCAATTTGTATTCATCACTGGAGCTACATGGGCTCTTACTCCTGCGAGGCTTGAAAAATTAACTCCCAGGCAGGAAGACTTTGAAAGCAACCTCCTCTTGCGAATCTTGCTTGTGATCTGCACCATCCGGCAAGATGCAGTTCAAAATCATCTGTTGCCTTAAGAGGCATGGGCCAAAATTACTATACACTTTTCAAAGGTGAACTTGGGGTCTCCTATGAATCCAGGGGCTTTTCAGAAAGGACTTAAAATAGAAAAAAAAGCAGGAAAAAAAAGAGATGTGCTGCTTACACAAGGGCCATCTCATAAAATGTCTCTAAGCACATGACAGATATTACTATTATTATTATTATTATTTTTTGTTGTTATTTTTATTACGCATACTAGGTGTAGTAGGAAAAGAACAGCCATAGAGAAGGACCAGCTCTGATATGTTTTTAAAAGGCCTAACTTCATTACTGTAAATAAATTATGATTCATTATTTGAAATGCTGATATTCTAAACACTGTATTCCACTCTCTTTTTACTGTGCAAAGCTTTAAAAGTAAGATATAGTTATTTTTAGACATAAATGGGGTGATATTGTCGTACAATCACTTTTACTTTGCTTTTTAAAAGGAAAAATCCTCATTTGTACATCCTCCCAGATTCTGAGAGGCTCAGTAGCCAGAAGTTATGGAAGTCAGACATCTTTGGAAGAAAATGGGAGTTTTTCCACAGGGGTTCAATCACAGTACTCCAAGCAAGGAGTCCAGCATCACTATACCTGCTGGTTTTTGGGTCGCAATAGGCCTTTTCAATTTCCTCCATCATGGAAAGGTCATTCCAGGTGATCCCATCATATATCTCCCATTTATATGGCAAATGGTAATGAACAGATTTGCATTTATCTGTAATGAGATCAGACATCATAGTTGAATTCTTTAATCATAACACAGAGAGCAAAACAACAAAACCCAAAAAGGAATCAGCAGTTTTTACACCTTGAGGCTTTCTCCCTGGGCTTTGGTATGAGCAATGAAGACAGAGTGCTGAAAACAGAAGGGGGGGGTGTTTCTCCAGTGAGTGAGAAGGCACAATTGCCATTGACACTCCATATGCCACCACTAGCCCAAGCCACTGAGCAGTCGTGCTCTCCAGTGACTACATTACATTTTATAAAGCTTACCCTTATGTTTGCAGTACTTCCAGACATAGAACACACAGATCTCATCACAGTTAACTTCTTTGTTGTCCTTTGAAGCTTCAGCAGAGGAATCGTCCTTTTTATCTACGGGAAAGAACACATCAGTCCTTATTTGCTCTAAGAGAAAGACACTGCCTTTCATACTTCATCCCAGAAATAACAAAGATTTGACTGCAGTAGCCAAGTCAAGCACTTTCAGGATCTGACTGTCCCCTACACAGCTCACCACACGAGTCAGGGCTTTGTGACTGAGCGATAAACCCTGACACTGGAGGAAGTTTCAGTGGAGAAGTGCAAGGGCAGTGTCAGGAAGAGTAACATAGGGTGTGGCTGACCATGGTTCCTGGAAAGCAGCCGACTTTGTCTCCCCACCAAGGGGTCCAGAGAGTGGATAAATGGCATTGTCAGCTCAGCAGATCGATGGGGGGTAGAAATCTTTCTCCCTGAGTTGGCCAGACCAGCATGGGGGGAGCTCAGCCCAACACAGAAGTACTAAACCTAAAGAACTAACAAAAGAATTCTCAAGACAGCAACAGGCTTCAGCTGGCTTCAACCCTTCCCAGAGACTGGGGACACCCAGCTTTGAGACAATGAGCATATTATACAGACATGTAATGGGAGTGACATTAGCATTGTGATTGAACTGTGCATTGCAACTGCTACGTTTTGGTAAGTAAACATTTGTATTTTGTTTTTTGTTTCTAGTGGAAACTCTACTACATCAGAAATGTCACTGTACTGGACTTGGCTAGGATAAGATGTAATTTTCTTCATATGCTGTGTTTTAGATTTTTGACCAAAACAATGCTGGTAACACCCTGATAAGCCCTAGCTTTTACACAGCATCAAGGCCGCCTCCGTTTCTCACCCTGTCCCCAAAGTGAATAGACTTGGGGGTGCACAGTAGGTTGGGAGGGGACACAACTTGGGAGAGAACCCAAACTCACCAAATATTACATACCATATAGCATAATGCTCAGCAATAAAAGGGAACAGAGGGAGTTTTAGGAGGGTTAGCTCTCTTTTGCTCAGGAACTGGCTAAGCATCAGACTATGTGCGAGAGGTGGTGTGTGACTGCCTTTGCATCACTGCTTTTGCTTTGTTTTCTTCTTCTGCTTATCCTTCGGGGTTCTTTTCCCTCTCCCATCTTGACCCTTAAGCTTTTTTGTTTTTATTCTTTCTTTTCTCTTCCGCATCCCACTGGGGGTCGAGGGGAAGTGAGCAAGTGCCTCTGTGGTGCTCACTGAGGTTTGTCCACAACACCTGTGTACCATCGATTGTCTTCACATAAGGTCAAGACTGGATGGTTAGAAACAACCTGTACCTTCATCTTTACCTCCAGCTCCTGTTGGCATGAAAAGACTGAATGAACAGCACTGCTGGGCCAGCTCAGCGAGCTGGTAGTATCCCAATCTGTGTGGAGAATTATGTCCATCACACATAATTTTGCTCCACTGCTGATACAACAGATGAGTAATAACAGTTACAAACCCTAGCTAGTCACAATAAGCTGGCAATAAGCCAGTCACTCAATAGCTATTTTGCATGCAGTATTGTAGGTAATAATAGTGCAGTTCTCCTACATCATTCAGACATGACTTAATTCCTGAAAGTAGATAATGGCAGAGAGGAAAAACATATGTACACGTTGCAAGAAGCGAAATACAAAAGCTGATTCCACATGGAAGCAGCTGGTACTAATCGCTAGATATTTACCTTCTGGAGATGGCACGTGGAGTGTGGAGTCCACTGTTTGCAAAGGTACCTTCGGTTCTTTACTCATTGTAACTACTGTTTTTTTCAAACAATTTCCCCTTGGTTTGTAGTTGTGTACTGAAAGCACCAAAAGGATGATGGGGTTTAGCTGAGAGGTTTCTACCTCTATCAAACTCAAAATCCTATTTAAGCGCAGTGTTTCTTACAACTTACCATTTCCCTTCTTCAGTTCCCTGTTGAACTCCATGTGCTTATAATCATATATAATCTGGAGGTTCGAAGCTATTTTCCCATCAATGCCTCCAGTTTCCAACACTCTCAGTGCATGGCCATCCAAGAGGTTATGGGACCTCATGCATGGAAAAAATCTACATTCCCCCTGGAGAAAATGTCGACAAACATGAAGCTTGTTGCAGTTGTTTTGCTGCATGCAGACACCACCTTTTTTGTTGTAAAACTGGCAGGTCTAGAAGTGGGGAGGACACAAGATGAAATGGAAAAGCACATTAGAATCTTTCATTGTTCTATAGGCATGCAGCTTTAAGAGCAGAAAAATGGTGACTAAAAGGCATGTGGTCACTGTGACTTCTTCAATCTAGACAGATTCCTTGCACAGAGGAGCAGGTATTTTAAGCCGATTCATGCATTTTTGGTTTTGAAGTTGTGCAGTTTTTGTTTCAAGAAAAGCCAATCCAACAAGCATAGAAGTGCCAAAAAAGGATGCAAGACAGTTGCATAAAACTGAATTTGTACTTCCTATTTGTAAAGCTTATTCTGCATTGAAGATTTGGGCTTCCAAAAATGATCAGAAGAATGCTTTGAGATTAGAGTACCTATGGAAAAAGCAAAGCACTTCTTTATTCCTCTAGTAATCAAAAAAGAGATAAGCAATGAATCAGACCCAGGGAACAAATCACAGACCAAAAACTCCTTCATATTGTCCACCAAGCAACACAGCAACATTTTTGCTCCTGAAGCACAGGAGTAGCCTGTAAGAAGAAAGCTTCTTTGAGGAGGACACACAGCTGTCTGGCAGACACATCATACCAGGACTCTCACAGGTCCCCTCCCAACCCCTCTTCCCACCAGGAGAGTTTTTATGGTGCATTGAAGCTGAATATATATAGATGTATATATCAGTTAGGGAATTATAGATCGCTGGGATGGCAGTGCTTGGAGACTGAAAAATCAGGCCAGTTTCAGCTGCAAAACAACTATTCACTGGATTCATAGTGTCTGTCACACAGCCTGAGCTTGGACTTAAGAATTACAGAAAAAAGCATAAGATTTACATAAAACACTGGTTTCAGGGGCCAGAGCACAGGAATTGCTTTGGTGCTCAAGAGAATAGGGAAAAAAAGCAACTAAAATAGAGAATCAAGTAATAACTGAAAGAGTATTAGAAACACAAACATTTTGTATGGAGTGTCCATTACACAAAATAACACTTTAGGTTAGTGAAAATTGCAGCCACTTAAATGTCAATCTGAAGCTCTCAGAGTTTTAAGGACACTGAATCTGGCTGAGAACAATTCTACAGAGCATCAGGAGGAACATGAATTAAAAGATCTTAGTATGCAGGATGAAATTTTTACACAGGAACATCAGAATAAACTACCAAACCAGAAGCAAGTGCTGCCTCAGTGAAGTAAGTGTCCTGGTTTTGGCTGGGATAGAGTTAATTTTCTCTGTAGCAGCTGGTACAGTGCTGTGGTTTGCATTCAGGATGAGAAGAATGTTGATAACACAGAATTGTTTCAGTTGGTGCTGAGCAGGGCTTACTCCAGTCAAGGACTTCTCAGTGTCTTGTGCTGTGCCAGTGAGCAGGGGCACAAAGAGCTGGGAGAAAGTATGGCCGGAAAGCTGATGAAACTGGCCAAAGGGATATTCCACACCATAGAACGTATATACCAGTATAAAAACTGGAGGGAATTGGCCGGGAACCACCAATCGCTGCTCAGGGACAGGTTGGGCATCAGTCAGCAGGTGGTGAGAAATTGTATTGTGAATTACTTGTTTTTCTTGGGCTTTATCATCTCTCTCCTTCTCATCACAGCTATTATCAGTATATTTTATTTTCTTTCAATTATTATAGTATTCTTATCTCAATCCACAAGTTTTACCTGTTTTCCAGTTCTCTTCCCCATCCCACCAGGGTGGGGGAGAGAGCAAGTGGCTGCATGGTACTTAGTTGCCATCTGGGTTTAAACCATGACAATAGGAAATGCATTATTTAGCTACATCAAGAAAGCAGCTGTCCCTTGCATTTGCCAAGAAACAAATAAAAAACCAAAACAACAAGAAAACAAACAAACAAAAAAACCAACCAAACAATAAAACAACAAACCAACCAAAAAAAAAAAAAAAAAAAAGAAGGTGAGGAAAAGTGTGAAAAACCCCTGATGTTGTGGTGCTGTTGTGGGTTTCTTCCTTACCCTGCACCCAAGTTCAAGTCACAGAATACCAAAGTGTCCCCTTGCTTGAGAGCTCTGTACATGCCATGTCCTTAGACACACAACCAGTAGCATTTCTAAGCAGAAAACAGCCAAGTCAGTTTTTTGATCCCTCTTCCCAGCTCTCAGGTTTATGAAGGGCCTCCATCAATCGCGGTTTTCTCTTGTTTTTGCTATTTTACTGCATGATAGGAGTTAAGGTGCTCAATTAGAGGTAATTAATGATGCCTGCCAGGGGTGGGGGCTGAACAGATCCACAGTAAGAGCGTAAAGGTAATACCAACCAATGATGGTTGCTACTATATGTTCATTATTGGGAACAATCCCCCTTGCTTATCACCACCATGCTCCTTGAATCTGCCTGCACAACATACTACAAAATGCTACACACACAAACAAACAAACAAACAAAAAACCACAAACAAACAAACAAAAAAACACCACTATTTTGTCGAAGTCCTGCACTGTCACAGCAGGGAGTAAAGAAACAACAGAGCTATTATGTCAAGAGATCTGTGGAGATTATAAGCTGCAAAAGACAAGGGTAACAGGCATTACCTACCTTGAAGACAGTACTGCCCTTATACACACACATAGACCCAGAATGGAATGTTCAGCCGAATTTAACAAAATTGATGACTGGCATACAAACTGGACAAAGGTAACTCCGTAGAAAATTACTGTATGAAAACTCAGTTCAGTTTGGAAGAGGCAGACTTTACACAAAAATGACTGCAGACATTTGGTCATTTTCTGATAGATTTTTCTCACTCCCTTATACCTTCATGCACCAAAATGTGCAGGCCTAGGTAGACTGGAAAAGGAAATGGGACCTCACTTCCTAGTCTCCATCATCTCTTGGAGAAGAAGCAACAAACCGAGTTTTTGGTCAGACCTCTTAGCCTGTAAGCATTACAATTATTGTGGTCTTTCAGCTGTATCTTGCTTACCTCACCCTTTGTAAACCTATAATGAAGCTGACATTTTTGTTTGCTTGTTTTGAGGAACTTTATGGACTTTATATTGTTTCTTCTGGTGCTTTCACACATAGCCATCCCCATTCCTGATTCATTCAGACTCATCCTGTTACATTTAAACAGGTTGACATTGAGATCAGAACTCCACATTGTTATCCTCTCCCATTCCTAGTGAACAAAAAGCTTTTTTTAAGACATCAGTACTACTCACATCAGGGAGGAAGAAAGTGTCGTTTTGAAGAAGCAGGATTCGCAGCTCATTCTCACTGAGGCCAGACAAATCATGTTTTCTTAGAATTTTTTTGTTCTCAGCATTGGTGATGTCATGTGAGTACTTGCAAGAGCTGCAAGAAAACAGACAGACATATCAATGTTTATTCCATGAGTCGGGCTGATTTAAAGAAGAACCTCAGAAAACGTGCAACTTCAAAAAAGCCGTGAGGGTAAGGGGGCTTAGCAAAAGTCTTTGTAAATGTTTAGGTGGTCTCTGCAATTAGCCAGAGAACAGACCAGACAGCATAACTCCTCTGTGAAATGCAGTAGCATTATCATCCCCATTTTAAACACCAACGTGGCCACACCACTTTAAAAAAACTTAGCAGCACAAATTTGAAGCCAAGTCTGTCTATCCCACACATTCTTCACCTCCAGTAAAATACAAGTCAATGCCACATGATCAGAACAGCTGGAGGGAAAGTTAATGTTAGAGCAATACACCAGAAACACTGCAGGTTGCAACACCTTTGATTTTGTGAATGTAAAAGGTTGTTGTCCCCGGGATGGCATGCAAGGACAGATGCAAGAGTCTAGGAGAGCAAAACTAAGAGATAATGAAGCTGAAAGCAACACAAGTTGTTATCTTTGCTTGCTGGGAAGTTTGGTTTTTTAAAAACAAAACAAACAAACAAAAAACCTCCTCCCCCCAAACAAAAAAACCCAACAAACTGAAACCAAACAAGAAAATACAGCTTCATGTTCTGCTCACTAACAGGTGATTTGATGCAGCCTTAAGACTAGACATACTAATCTAGCAGAAGTACCTGTTAATTTACCAGACTCCAGATAAAAGCCTATGATCCCTTTACTCTTTCAGCCTCTACTTAACTTTTGAAACTCACCTTGTGAAAGCTTTTTTACCTCAGGCTGTGTCTGATCCAGTTCTTCTGTACAGACACTTGAGTAGATATTTCTCCCCTGACCCCTCTACCTGTTGGACACATTGCTTTGTAAGCAAATAAACAAGGATGCAAAGTCTGAAGGGCAGAAGTGTGCCTTCTTAGATCCTGAGAAACATTCTTCTAAGGCTATTAGGTGCTGTAGGCACTCAATAAATAGCTGGGAAGGTAGGTAAGCCTACAGAGTACTTGAAGTGTGAGCCATCACCAGTGTTCCTCCACAGTCAACTTCAGATTCCCCCGACAGTCACACTACATTACTTGAGTCCATATTTCTAAGTCAAAGATTAAAACACTCCACAAATACAATGATAACTGAACAACTGAGTTCAATAACACATTCAGGAAAGAAAAACAAAACAGTGGAAAGCGACTTGCGAGACATTAGTTAAAAACAAGATTAACTGGACTAAAATTGTGATTCCACTAAATAGAAGACCACAATTACTTGTAAAGATGTTTTTCTTTCCATGGATTCTAAAACAAAAAGGATGCAAAGGCTGGAAGCAAGGCTAGATTTTACCTTATCAGTTAAAAAATTCTCTCTCTCTTGATCTATGTGATTGACCTAGCAGTATTTCTGTCCCCTCATTTTAATCAACCTTCTTCCCATGAAAGGCAAACTCTTCGCTTTATTAATTTTTAACACATACCAAGGTGATTTTAAATACTTAGTGCTATTGAGAGGACAGAGCGGTTTATCATTACTAAGGGAATCACCTTATTGCACGTTTTAATTCACCGAGTCATCCAGCATGAGTACCTACAAGCGCCTGAAGGCATTTCTAACAGTGAATCCCAGGGAAGCTCATCGTTCTGTCAGTAATGCAACAAAGAGTAAGAAAATCTTATAATCCTAGTGGTTTGCTAGTACCACTCAAAGACACAGCCTTTCCCCTCTAAGCTCTTCAGCCATCTATTTTATTGGGGCAGAACAGGAAGGATCCGGTGGGATACCAGCAGGTTATTAACACTGCAACAGTACAAGACCTGGGGCTTATGGGCTTAAACTGCAAATTCTTCCATCAGAGCTCACTATTGCCACTGATTGTCACAGGAAAGCTTCTGGGTTCCTTCTTCTGCATTTGCTTTTGTTTTCCTTTATCTTAATGTTTTTAAACTAGGTACCACCTTTGCGTGCCCTGCCCTTCCCGGGAGTCCTCCGTATTCCGGAAGCCGGGACTGATGTATATGGGCGATCAAACAGTGCCTCTCACATAAAAGTCTGTAAGCGAAGCGGCTAGTTGCAGCAAAATTCAACGTTTGTAACTCTGGAGTAAAACCAGAGGGCATGCAACACTTTGCTTTTTACTTTGGATAGAAATACGTGTAAACCATTTCATCCAGATGCTGAGGGACGGGTGTGGAGGCGAGTGGATTTATAACAAAACAAAACAGTCGTAATACTGACAAAGAAAACCAGGCTTTAGAAAACTGCCACCTATCTCGGGCACTTCGGCCTTTTACCGACTCCGCGAGGGCAGGACGCGAGTCCTTGCAGAGCCAGGATCTCCCAGCCCGTGGCTGTGCCCGAGGGGGACCACTGCCCTCTGTCCCCGGGGCAAGGGGTATGCGGGGTTTTGGGGGCATCCCTCTCCCCCTCCTTCCCCTCCCCTCGGGCTGCCCGTGCCCACCGCGCTCACCTGGGCCCCAGGTGGCACTTGCCCATGAGGTTTTGCTTGCAGAGGTGCAGCCGCTCGCAGCCGCCGCCGCACTCCCTGCGGGGACAGACCCGCACGTCAGACACGGCCAGGACCTCGGCGCCGCCGCGCAACATCAGGAAGCGCCGGGGGCCCGCCGCCGCCAGCGTCTCGGCCAGCTGCGGGGCCGACAGCCCGGCGTGCTGCTGCAGCTCCGGCAGCCCCAGCCGCCCGCCCTGCGCGCACAGCGCCCTGGTGAGGAAGCAGCACACGGCCGGGTCGCTCATCCTGCCCTCCGCCTGCGCCGGCCGCCGCGGGACGGCAACGGCACCGGGAGCGCCGTGGGACCGGCAGCGGGCGGGACCGAAGGCGGGAGCGGGGCTCCGCCGCCCGGCCGCGCTCGGGAGGAATCGAAAACGAAAGCGCGGCCGCGCCTATGGCAGGAGGCGGGAAACCGCCCAGCCTGGAGGCTTCCTTGGCTGAAAATCACTCGGGAAACAAATAATGCAAGAAGTGATTGAAAGGAGTGTGGGGTTTTCGTATAATTTAGAATCACGGAGTGGTTTGAGTCGAAAGGCACCTTAAAGCTCATCTCGTTCCACCTTCCACTAGCCGAGGTTGCTCCAAGCCCCGTCCAACGTGGCCTTAAACACTTCAGGGGTGGGGCAGCCACATTTCCTCACCTCCTTGCTGACTTGGCCTCCCTCTACATAAACCTAACATGAATTTAGTGCAGATCATTAAGCGTATAATGCAGGAAAAAAAACATAGCGTACCCAAATAACTGTAGTATTTATGTAGGAATGCCATTACTTTTCTTTGTTCCCAACTAACGGTCAACTGCTGATCAGTGCTGGTTGCAGCAGCTGGTCCTGGCAGGGCTGTGAAGCTCTGCTGGTTTTGGCTGGGGTGGGGTTAATTTTCTTCACAGTGGCTGTGTTTTGGATTTGTGCTCAACACAAGGTTGATAATAGAGATGTTTTTGTTACTTCTGAGCAGGGTTTACACAGAGCCAAGGCCTTTTCAGCTCCTCATATTGCCATGCTGCCAAGGAAGTTGGAGGTGCATAGGAAGCTGGGAGGGGGCACAGTTGGGACAGGTGACCCCAAATGAGCCAAAGGGATATTTCATACCATACAACATCATGCTCAGTATATGAAGTTAGGAGCTGGGGGGAGAAGAAGGAAAGGGGTGACGTTTGGAATGATGGCCTTTGTCTTCCCAGGTCACAGCATGATGGGGCCCTGCTCTCCTGGAAATGGCTAAACACCTGCCTGCCCATGGAAAACAGTGAATTAATTCCTTGTTTTGCTTTGCTTGCGTGCATGGCTTTTGCTTTCCCTATTAAACTGCCTTATCTCAACCTATGAGTTTTCCAGTTTTTACCCTTCCGATTCTCTCCCCAGTCCTGCCAGGGAGTGAGCAAGCATGGGCTTGGCTGCTGGCTAGGTTAAACCATGACAGAAGCAGAAATGCCGTATTGCTGTTAGTGTCGAAGTAGGGCTGGGGCTGGGAACAAGCACAGCAAATACTGAATCAAAAAGATGGGGAGAGGGTTGAGGACTAAATCCGTTTGAGATGAGCTTTCACACTGCAACTCGTTGGCAATGCAAGCTTTGGGAACAGTAAGTATCTATCAACTGCTACCTCTGGATCAGGAAGTTACCCTTGAAAATAGAGTGAATAACAGCCTGTGTTGCCTGTTGCTGATGCCTGATTTAAAAGGCATGTGAAACTACACAGTCACAGTCACTGCTCAGGTCATAGAGAGAAAACCACTTCCAGGAATAAGGCCAAGGTGGGACTGCCTGTGGTTTTGCTCTTTCTTTGTTGCTGAAGGTTATATAGCGATCTTTTCATTGTGCATATTTCCTCATATCCGCCCACTTGCTATGATACTTGAACAAATTAAATAATTTTTGAAAAACAATAGAAAAACGAGAGGCAGAAGGAGAAGTTTGCCACGTTTGTCAGGTCTAGGTTTAGAAAAGTAAATTGATAATTCTGGGCTGGATTATGCTCTGGGTGTGGATACATCCATTCTCAGGTTGTCAACAGATTGTCAAGGATGATAAAACTGAGATCCAAACTCAAGGTAGTTTCAGAACTGACTGATAAGGTAGAAAATTATTCAAACATTGAGTCAGCAATGTATTGCCAACTTCAATGAGTAGATGAGTCAGGCAAACTGTACAATAATTTGCTTATATTTGTCTTTTGTTTTTCAGACAGTTCAAATGAAAACATACTTTTCTGCATTAATCTACTCAGAAATCTGAACTACTGGTCTGAGGAGCTTTACTTTAGGAAAGTAAAGCAGAAAGAAGCTGCAAATACAGTCTTGGCAAACATGTTCTATTCTCCACTTAAATACATTCAAAAAGGGTTTTGGTTCAGGCCTGAGTGAAAACAAGCAAAGAAACATTGGGAGATTTATCCTGTTTGTTGGTATGTTTTGCAAATATAAATGCACCAGTACTTGACTTCCTTAACTACTTCAAACAGAACCAGTTTATGTGAAACAACACAACTGAGTGAGGCAAAAGGCATCACTGAATGAAGGAGTCCCAAATCAGTGTTATTTTTAGAGGGCAGTGAGTAATTCCAGCCTTGAATATCAAGTCTTTGTTTAAGTTAGACCCTGCTGGAAAAGTAGCTGGATTGCTGCAACCTTTTGCTACTGTTTAAAATGCAATCCCAATCTTTCTCTTTGATGTCCTCTACTTGCAGCTGTAATATCTCCTTGTTTGCCCTGCCTCTGGTATTCAGCTGACTCCGTAGTAAGTGAAATCAGCTTTCAGAGACTTGAAACTGAAATTTTGATTCATATGAGCAAAGTATGAATGGGTGTGTGAGCAAGCACCAGAAGAAACAGCAGAACAAAGGTTAAACAAATGGCCTCGACTGATAATCAAAAACACAGCAGTAAAGGCAGTAAAATCGAGAAATGGTTTCTCTCAAACCAGGAAAATCTGCACTCTGGAGCATAGAAAACTTGTTGGAGGAAGATCCTACCATCTGACAGCTGGACATGGCAGGAAGATACAGCACACCACAAATGCCATTTATTTCCTGTTGGTCCAACTGGAAGCAAACCATAAAGAGAGGAAGCACAGAAAATGGGCAAAGAAGTTCCATGAGGTGCATGGAGGCAGAAGTATCTGCACTGTGAAGCACAAGGATGCCACCACAGTCAGTGCTGGGTCCCACTATCTTTCATACCTGTTAGTGGGCAGAAAAGACCCCTCCAAGGCAGCTTGCCACTGGCAGTGAAAACTAACACAAGAGATACCAAAAGGGTGGGATAATTGGTGCCCATCTTCCCTTATGCTGCTTGCAATGTGGGTCCTGGAAAAACCCATGGAGCACACGCACGCCTCAGGAGCTGTGAGTATAAGGTTTTGACAGCATGAACCAAGTTGAATATTGAGTTGTTTGACCACTTTCCAGGATGAAGAGCCCTGCTACACTGGCTCACCCTGATCTCTTAGGGTGATCTCAGACCCTCTCTGTGGGCTCTGGGGCTCTGCGGGGCTGGGATTAGGAGGTTAGAGTGGGAGTTGGAAAGTTTGATGGCGGCGGAGCTGCTGCTGAGAAAGCAGAGCTGGCAGTGAAATAAAGCTTATGGATCTGGGGCTGAAATCACTGAGGGGCTGGGACAGAGACTGGGGCTAGGATAGGGATGGTTGTCTTGGGATAGGGACTGTAGGGCTGGAGCTGAAATTACTGTAGGGCCTGAGCAAGCAGAATTGCTGATTTTTAATGCACAGCCTCAGAAACAGGGGGGGTTGGAGGTGCAGTGCTGCCCGCAGCTCCTTTGTGCCAAGGCACCAGTAAGCTTTAGCCCTGCCCCTGATTTCCCAGGCCATGGCAGGGAAGGAATGTTTTGAGGTAAAAATGAGGGCCTGGATCATGGACAAGTAGGAACAACCTTGGGGTAGAACTTGGGGGTAGAATGTGCAATGAAAAAGGAATATTTTGGAGGTAAAATTGGAGAGAATCTTGAGGGGCAGAATGAACTTTCTGGCAACAGGGAACAATTGGAGCCTGTGAGGACTTATCAACTGGCTTCCTGTGACGGTAAAAGAAGAGCTGCCGTGCCGGGAACAGTTTGTCCCTGGAGAGCACAGTGCTGGAATAGGGGTGAGACACAGTAAGCAGCTTTTTTTCTTATGTTGGGTCAGCAGGAGGTGGAGGTCAGAGGTCGGGAGGTGGGTGCCTGCCCGCGTCGGGGTGTGTAGTGTGAGTCTGCAGACAGAAAAAGGGGTTAAGGCCGTTGGTGCAAGTTGTGTTGGCAGAAGGCAAAAAAGTGGCAATAGTGGCCCTGTGGTGCATTTCATCTGAGGTCTGTGGTGGGTTTCATGTGCAAAGGCAAAATAGGGGGGGGGGGGTTAGGTATTGTTTAGCCAAGATTTAGCCAGTGTCCCAGGGTGGGGTTGGATCCGTATGTGAAAAAAGCAGGTGGCATTCTGGGCGAGCGCTTTCCCCGCTCGGGCGCCGCGGGGTGGGCGGAGGGGGCCTTTAAGAAGGCGGAGCCGCCGTGCTGGGGAACGGCGATGCTGGGGCGGCTCGGGTAGCGCAACTGGATCTCAGCACCGGGGAAATGGGAACGGGGGAGAGGGAAAAGGGGGAGAGGGGAATCGGGGAGAGGGGAATCGGGGAGAAGGGAACCGGGAACAGGCGCATCCCCGCCGAGCCCAGGCGGGAGAGGCAGAGGCGCTGCGGGCGCTCGGCCTCGGCAGGCAGCGCTTAGGCCGGCAATCAATTCCCTCGGCACCCCGACTCCCCATGGCCTCGCTCGGCAGGGCTCGCCAGGAGGGCTGCCAAGTTGGCGCTGGGCTCCGAACGGAAGGCATCTGAAACTGCTGCTTCTGATGATAAAGGGTGATCAAAATATAAAGCAATACAAGATTGTAGCCTTAGTTGCTTACTAGCTAATTTTTGGATAGAATTAGGATAGAGCCTTGATTGCTTATGCTAACTCACAGACAGGATATAGTTAAAAACCTTATAGTTTAGATAAGGGGCTTTGAAGCTCATGAGAAAGAGACCTTGAACGTTGATAAATAGATGCTCCTGGAGAAGATACCAGTTTTTAATTAATTGGACAGTGCCAACTCAGCAATTCTTAGCAAAGGTAGAAAGTTCAGGCTGAGGAAGACTTCTTCCTTCCTCCAAAAGACCCCCAAAAATCACCGAAAGAAAACCCCAAGGGAGTGTTCCAAGGCGGAGTTATAGGAGTGGTGTATGTTAATGATCCCACTTTTCTGGAATCTGCTAACACAGCTAATGCATATGTAAC